TAGAACAGATGAATCAATATATGTATTCCGAATTCAGTCATACCAGACAAAAAGGACATCATCCAATTCATACAAGAAGTCAGAAAACAATAGTCAACACCATATCTCAAAACTTCACCCCGCGTATAAACAGGATGAAAGGAGCCCATAGATTCTCCTTCAGCCAGTGACAGATATCCAGTCCCACACCGCGCCTCCTTTCCGGAAAACCCATACAAAAAAGAAAGAAGTCATAACATGCATGCGTGCAGATCAATCATTCATCGCCCCGTAATGTAGTCCTTGTTTTCGATCGTAACACTCTTCGTCATGTGGTTGACCTTGTAAACACCGACCAGTCGAGAGGCAAGTTCGAACTATTGTTGAGAGTCAGTAACGCGCTGCTGTAGCATCTATGGCGAGTGTCTTACCATGTTGTTTCTCAGAGAAATAACGATAAACTGGGCATTCTTAGTTCTCTCCTTGATATAGGATGCCACAATTGAAACCTAGGCAGATTAGCAACGCACTTTTAGTAGCTGGGATAGAGCACTCACGTTCCGGAAGTCCAGGGCAGCATCAATCTCGTCCATCACGTACAAGGGAGTTGGCTTGTAGTGATGCAAGGCGAATACTAGCGCCAAACTGGAGAGCGTCTTTTCACCACCGGACAGATTACCAATGTTCTTCCAGCTCTTCTTTGGAGGCATGACGGAGAACAAGATACCCTCAGAGAACGGATCCAAAGAGTCGACCAATTCCAGCTCCGCGTTACCTCCCATCGTAATCATCTGGTACATCTCCTTCAGACGAAGCGAGATAATGCCGAATCCTTCCATGAACCCGTTCAGACGAGCAGATCGGAGGCCATCAAGACGGGCCTTGGCACTGTCGCGCGATGCCAGGGCAGTAGTCAGATCGGCCGAACGTGCTTCGTGCTCAGCCGTTCTGCGCCTGTACTCCTCGATGACACTAAGGTCGACAGATGCATTCTGGCTCTTCTCCTCGAGCGCAGCAATGGCTGCCTTCAACGACTCCTTGTTCATCTCCATCAACTCATCTTGAGTGAACATCTGGAGCTCTGTGGCCTCCTGCTCTTCACCCAGATCGCTGACGTTCTGCAACGAAAGCTTGGATAACTTTTCTTGCCAGTACCGTCCGCGCTTTTCGTTCTCGGCCAAGGCTTTCTGGTTCTCCTCAAGCTTATTGCGCATCTCGATCTCGGTGGCTCGGGACTCGTTCAATTCAGCAACCTTTTCATCCAACTCAGCCTTCACCTTGCCGAGCTCCTCTTTCTTTTCGTCGAGAGCCTGTCTTGTGTGAGCCTGTGAATCTGATACATCGCCATGTCGGACTTACCTCTTCCGCTTCCTCCACCTTCTGTTTCCACCCCGAGGCATCGTTGGCCTGGTTGGCAACATCAGCATTGAGCTTCTCGAGCTCCTCTGTCACATGCTCAAGTTCCTTCTCTGCGTCAGCACGGGAATTCTGGTGCTTGACGATGGCCTTCTCGTTCTTTGATTTTCCAACTTCTGCATTGGAAATCTCCTCTGCAAGAAGGCTGATCTGCTCCTTGAGACCATCGACCTTGGCCTTCTGACCACGTAGTCTAACACCACCAACTTCCATGATCTTATTCTGGAGAGTCTGGATCTCTTCCTCGATGCCGCCCTTTTGTTCACGAAGGTCTTCGATTTCTTCCTCCAGAGCAGCAATCTGTTTCTCTAGAGCTGCAGCTTGGTTCGCGTCCGTCTTTGATGGCTTGTGCTCGGCGCTCAGTTCCTTGACGCGCCGCTGGGCGTCTGCGAGACTTCTGTTGGCACTTTCGATCTCAATCATGATCTTCTGAATTCTGGTCTCCGCCCGTGGTATCTCCTCGGACCTCTCTCTGATCGCTGCCTCCATTTGCCGTTGCTTCTCCAGGAAGCGCTGGAATTTCCTCTCCATTTCTTCCAAATCCCCCTCGAGCTGAGCAACTTGCTCTCTGCTTGTCTCTGCCACTTGCTTGGAGGACATGCCGCCACGTGCTACGCGGGTACCACCACCACTCATAGTACCGGACATGTCAATAAGTTGACCGTCAAGGGTAACGACCCTCCACCGTCTGGCTCCATAGGCAATGCGGTTGGCTTGCTCGAGGTCTTTAGCAACCAAGGTGTTCTGCATGACACTGTAGAATGCGGGGGCAAACTTGGAGTCTTTAGGCTTAACCAAATCAAAAAGGCGAGGGACCTTCTCCGGAGTTGCGATGGAGGACAGATCCCGCCGTGGGAGTCGATCCAGAAGAATAAAGTTGGCTCGGCCGAGATTGTTCTTACGCAGGTAGTCAATACACTGCTGACCGACCTCAACCGTATCAACTACCATGTTGTCCAGCGCTGGACAGGCAGTCGAGATAGCGACATCATATTTCTCGTCGATAGTTCCGAGGTTGCCGAGCCGGCCGTGGAAGCCTTCAATACGGCCCGACTCCTTGAGACGCATAAGCCCAGATAGAACGCTTCCGCGATTTTGAGTGCTCGCAAGACTGGCCCTTGCCTCGTCTGCCTTCTGTCGAGCACTCGAGACATGGGCTCGCACTTCGGGCTCTCTGTGGGCATACTTCTTGAGGTCATGCTTGAGCTTCTCGACCTCTTGTTCAAGTGTCGACTTCTGCTCCTTGCGTTCCTCAAGCTCGGTCTCCTTGGTAGCCAAGCCCTCTTCGATTGATGCCACCTTGGCCTGAGCCTCTTCCAACAGGACAGCACCCGCGTTGCTTCTCTCACGGATGATGTCAAGTTGACTCTGAGCCACAGCAACAGCCGAGAGCTTCTTGTTGATCTTCTCATCCCACGGCTCCAATGACTTTTGCTTTGCCGTAATTTGGTCCGAGAGGCCCTGGGTTTTGCCTTTGAGGCTCTCACGGATCGAGTTCAGTTCCTCCTCCTCCACCTTCATCTCCTTCTCAAGCTGTGTAGTCTCCTTCGATTTCCTTTCAATGTCGTCCGCATGCTTTTGCACCAAACTTTCACACTCAGAGGCAGCCAGTCGAGTACTCTGCATGGCCTTTTCCAGCTTCTTCTGCTTTCCAACCAGGAATTTCTTCTTCTCTTCAAACTTGACGGATTCCTTGTCGTACTTAGCCATTTCCTTAGCCAAGGCCTGCATCTCCTTTTCCATGCTCTCATATTCCCGCATGCCACGCTTGTACGCCTTTTCGAGCTCTTTGATACCGGACTCGTTGCCCTCGTGCTTCTCTAGCTCGAGGTTCAAAAGCTCTTGCATCTGCAGGATAGCTTCCTCGGTCACTCGGATGTTGTCTCCACACTCATTGATGTAAATCTGGTAAAGTGCAGACTGTTTCTGAGCCAGCTCATTCTCGTCACGGATGAAGGCGAGTGCCTTGTCCTTTTTATCTTCTAAGGCGTTCTTCTCCTTCTCTACATGCTGTACACGGTTGTTCTTTTCCATACAGACGTCGTTCAGCGTCTCCAGCTCAGCGGCTGCTTCGTCGATGGGCGTCTTGTATTTAGAGGTTCCAATAATATCCTCGAGGTACTCCAGGAGACCATCTTCATGTTCATTGGCAGCCTTGGCCTTCATCTGTGCGATTGACTCGACTTCACCTTGGAGAATAAGGAAACGCTTGTGGTCCAGGTCAATGCCGCGGTCGCGGAGCAGAGTGGTCACGGCGGTAAAGTTCGTCTCCTTGCCGTTCATGTAGTACTTGCTGCTGTTGTTTCTAAATGCCTTTCGGGAGATAATCAGTTGGGAATCTGGGACTACTTCATGCCCTCCGGTGGGCAAGTCAAGGACTTCCTGGAAGTGGACTTCGACTTCACAGTAGGGCAAGTTGGGGAAGTTGGCGGAATTGTGAATGAGAGCGGAAACCTTGCCCTGTCGCATCTTGCTGGCTCGGAACCCGAAGACAAAGAGCAACGCATCAATGACATTGGACTTTCCGGATCCGTTTGGTCCAACAACCGACGAGAAAGAGGCATGGAAGGGCCCGACGATCTGCTTCCCTGCGTAACTCTTGAAATTCATCAAAATTAGTGTAGTAATAATCAAGCGGCTCTTAGGTTCGGATGGCTCCTCGGGTGCTGAGGGGCCCAGCAACCGAGACTTCATCATGATATCCATCGGCTTTTCGAGAACGGTCGTATTGGGGTTGATCATGGCGATTTGGGGCTTTTCCTCGCTTTCGGACTTCGCGGGCGTCTGGTTCACAGCCGATTCAGTGATATCAGCGAGTGGGGGTACACTGCCCCTCTGCGATCGGGGTTGGGACGGGGGCGGCGAGACGGAGGGCTCTGGAGTAGGGAGTAAGGACATTTCCGGGTTGGGCGTGTGGGAGACACGACTCTTGCGGGGGTGAGCCATACTGGTTATTTTCTTTACCGACGCTGTGACCTGTGAGGCAGTCTCGGGCTCTTCCACTGACGCGACGCTGTCGCCTTCATTGTCGTTGGTATCTGTGAGTTGCGACGCCTCCGACAATTCTGCGGTTGCCGATCTGCGAGACCTCCGTGTAGTGCGCGTGGCCTTGGGTGTAGTCTGATCAACGGTGGCTCGCCTGCGCGAGGACCTCTTTTCAATTCTGGGTTTCTTGGGAACAGGCGTGGCTTCGCCGCTATCGTCGTCGTCTTCGTCGTGCTGAGATGCCGTGGGGGTGACATTTCCGGGATCCTCCTCTTCGGAGGTTTCTTCGATAGCATAGCTCCGCCGGGCGGTGGCAGAGCGCCTAGTTGGGCGGCTTCTTGCGATGGATGACATTATTTTGGATGAGTCGTCGTCGTCGCCAGAGACGGCTTCATCAAGGCGAATGTTGAAGCGGGCGCAGTTGCAAAGTTGCGGGCGGAAGTGGAAAGTGGGTTGTTTACATTGTGTCCCCATCGGGAATGGCGTTGTTTTCTGCCACAACATGTGCGTCTTTGGACTGTCTGCTTCACCGCCCACCTGCCACGGCGGCCCATACAATTCACCGCGAGTAAATAATCAGCGCTGTATCGGAATTGTTCTACGGACATATCTCTGACAAAATGGCTCCTTGGGACGATTTCGACTCTATCTTCTATTTCAACAAGAACTTCACCTACGATGGCAAGGTCATTGAGCAGATCGTCGCCAACCGCCGTGCGCTTGAAAACCAGCTGTTCGCCGACAGACTGCTAGGATTGCTCGGAGTTAAAGCAGGTATTCTCTCCCCTCATCCAGCTCTGAAGTGAAGGTCGTTGTTAATTAGGAGCAACCTCTAGTCACGCAACTTTACCCTCCCAGATCCAATGCAGACCTCCGGACTCTTGTCGGACATATACTTTCCTCCCCCATGGACATAGAGCACAAGCAAGCGTTGATCTACTATATCCTGAAAGATTGCCGTGCCGCCAGCGATGCGGCTTCCCAGTTTTCGCGCCGGTGTCATTTGCCGGAGAAGTACAGGCTGTTCATAGAAGGACTGTGGAATCTTGATAGGCTTGAATTCAAGGTGCGTCTCTGCCTTGACGCAGTTTGCGACGGTTACTGACCCAGAATGCGCCGATAGCGAGCCGTAGAATATCTGACCGAGCCTTCTATCATTCCAACTTTCCCGGATGAAATCCTCTATGTCCTTACTCTTCCTCGGCTTCCCAAGCACGATGACAGCCTCGTAATGACATACTACCTTACTGTTTCCCCGCCTTTGGCATCGGAGAAGGTCCAGCGAGCCTTCTTCAAGACGCTCTGTCGCTCAAGCATTACGGAGGCCTTCTACTTCACCCGCAAGAACGACGACACTCTACGTCGAAGCTACCTTACACAGCTCATTGAGTTCGTGCACACAACAGACGCTGGCCAACTTCGGAGCAGTCGCGCGCTGGAACTGATCGGTCTTCCATTCGACGATCAAGAAGAGGAATGGTTCGAGGATGCTCTGCTTAACGGTAGTGCAAAGGGTCACCATGGCTCCAAGGACACAGTCATGATGCGCCGCCTTGCTAGTGGCAAGTTGGGTGGACTGGCCCAGGAGCTTGAGTCCCTCGGTGGGGAGAAGATTGACGGACTGAACTGGGATGTCCTGAGGCAGAGCGTCACACATACACAGACTTCTCACTCCAGCGGTGGACAAGCGTGACACGAACTTGATATTATGGGAAATGGCTCGGAGAATAGGAGTTGACATCGGATCCATTGTAATTTTATGAAGCATTGGGCATTGAACAGGCGACGGTTGCTATTGATGATTTAACAAGACCGAAAATATAACCACCAGTATACCCCGACCTAGTATCTTTCTTGGTGTTATTTGCAGCCTGTAGAAGAGTAAATGAATAAATTAGAATGTTACAGACAAATTGTATCTCCGCTGTTGATAGCTCCGCGGGCAGGAACATGTGTAAATTACAATACCCCGCCCATACACTATGCATGGATTTCCGGTTAATACTGCAGCCTGAGGCGGCGAAATGTACTGTCACCGGATCAATCCAACCACCACCGGCCATCCGCAGATTCTCTCTAGTTATACACCGCGACCAGCTGCGCGCGCTTCGGTTTCTGATATTACTTAAGAGTCTACTTATTCGTCATATCTTTCTCTAACAATTGATCAAATAGATAGCTTCAATTCGTGGGTTTCTGACTTTCGATTGAGCTCTTATCATCACCGTCAGACGGTCAGCAGGGGCCTCTCGTACTGTCCGACGCCGCAAAGGCCCAATACGACATGGTTGTCTGCACGTACTTTCAGCAGGGGCGCTGCAGATTTGGAGGTACGAAGATACCTTGCCCCAAAGATCAGATTTTTGCTCTTGTTCCGGTCTGGACAGTGGACTAACAATCATTCCAGACCGTTGTAAGAATGAGCACCCCAGCCAGCAGACATTGAGCTCCGGCAACCGTTTCGGGGCACTTGCTGGGGGAGGTTTCGGAGGTACGTTTAGTGTTTGCTGTTGGAGACAACACAACACAGCATGCTCTGTCTATTTGATGGGCTGTAAAGCCATTATGTGTGCCGACTTTATTGGTCTACTCTGAACTATATTATTATTGTCATTTGTTCTCTTCAAGAGCAGTCACCGCATTATACATGTGTGACTTGGTTCACGATTTGTTGCTTCCACCATGTGTTGTGAGATGTCCTAACTTCAAACATAGGCCGTGGCGCCCAGACTCAGCAATCTGCAGAGTAAGTTGTTCTTCACTCAAGGCTATTTTACATGGGACCTTTCTGACACCCCGCAGCTATGGAATCACTACGGCGGACATCAAGGCCGATCTTACCGCCGGTAAAGGCCGGCCAGAATGGGTTTTTTCCTGCTACGGTCCCGGCAGAAACGCCCCAAGGCAATTATTTGGAGGCGCTAATCGAGAGCGGAGTTTTGAAGAGCTGCGACTGCGCCATTACGAAGCTGCCGCAGCAGGCAACGCCGACCAGGCAGTCCAAGAAGCTCAAGCTCTGTATGGGGAGGCATTGAAGCAGATGGATGTCATCCTGAATGATTTAAACGGTGCTGTGAAGTATGTCGTCGACGGTATCAATGAACATCCCAACAGAATTGATATCGTGGAGGGCAAAACCGGCCCTGCTTCCACCCCAGCACCTTCTGCTTTCGGTCAGCCCTCGCAACCTAGCCAACCTTCACCATTCGGGCAACCCGCTGCTCCCAGCTCAGCACCGGCTTTTGGTCAGCCTTCAGGATTAGGCAGTCAACCCTTTGGCAAGCCATCTGCGTTCGGTCAGCCGTCAGCCTTCGGGCAGCCCTCGGCCTTGGGCCAAACATCTGGCCTGGGGCAAGCACCTGGCTTCGGACAACCTAGTGCTTTAGGTCAAGGGTCTGCATTTGGACAGCCCTCAGGCTTGGGAGGAGGGCAGTCGGCATTCGGTAAACCAGCCTTTGGCCAGCCTAGCTTTGGTCAGCCTTCTACCGGCCAGTCTTCGTTCGGCCAGCCATCATCACTCGGAACATCGGCATTCGGGACACCTGCTGCGGCCTCCCCATTTAGTCAGATATCAGCTCCTAGCCAGCAACCAAGCGGCTTTGGTCAGTCCGCCGGACAAGCATCACCATTCGCACAGGTCGGGAGTCAAACCCCCGCCGCGTCTTCTGGCTTCGGTCAACCCTCGACAACACAGCCTGCTGGTTTCGGCCAACCGTCACAGACAGCTTCGCCTTTTGGTCAACCACAACAACAACAACAACAACAACCGGCCTCAAACCCGTTTGGACAACCCTCCACGGCCGCAGCTCCGAGTCCCTTCGGGGCTCCAAGCCAACCAGCTGCACCTTCAGGATTTGGACAGCCCGCTAGCGGATTTGGACAGTTAGGCCAATCAGCGCCTGCTCCCGCTCTTGCATCCACGCCAACAGCTACCGCAGGAACCGGCCCTCCTGCTATCATCAAGATAGACAACCCCAATGAGCTACACCCCATCCCACCGCTGACAGGTCAGACCATTCGCGACCCTATGACCAAGAGGCTCTCAGCCTGGAAGGGGCAACCGGTCAAGTACATCAACAACGAACCCTGCTATCTACATCCGCAGGATCGTCAGACCTACGTCCGCATCTTCTTTCCAGATGGACCCCCTGATGCAGCCAGCTTACGGGACGCACATGCAAAGGACGAGGAGTATACAGCTGAGGTCACTGCGCAGTACGAGTTCTTCGTGCAAAACGGATGCTTCAAGGACGGAGTGATTCCGAGCGTGCCCCCGAAGACGGAATGGGTGAGCTTCGACTTTTAGCCAATCCAGGCTCCTGGACTTTCTTTTACATGGTTTACTTGGGCATTGTATTATATAGATCATTAGCATTATTAACGGACGGAATGGGCGTCCAGGCGGGAAATTCTCACACGGAACAACGGAAGCAGTGAAATCACTGCTAGTTTTGATACCAATACACTACACACTACACTACAATCCATCATACAACCATGCAATTCCATAAAGAGAATAGTTTACTGCTTTTTGAACTTTTTCATTTTCAAGCCAGGAACTGGCGGGTATCGACGAATGCCTAGCACGGCCGCAGCAGCACCACAAAACATAACCTCATCGTCCGCGCCACCCCTGTCACGAACCCAAACCGTATCCAGTGAAGGAAGAGGTAAGAGGGGTTATTTAAGCAGCAATGGTGACCTCAACCTCAACACCAGCCTCGATGTTGATGATGATCTGCTTGACGGTCTCGGTGGGGGCGAGGAGGCTGAAATAGATATTAGCTTCCATCTTCCTTTCCCTTCGCACACTCATCCTAACATATGAGTTAGGAGAATAGGGGCAGGGGTCACTCACTCGATGAGACGCTTGTGGATGCGCATCTCGTACTTGTCCCAGGTCTTGGAACCCTCACCGTTGGGGGTCTTACGGGTGGAGATGTGAAGGGTCTTGGTGGGAAGACGGACGGGACCCTTGACCTGGAGGGACTTGGAGCGAGCACGGTCGATCAGCTCCGAGCACACCTTCTCGAGGGAAGCGACCTTGCGAGAGGTGAGGGTGATACGGATCTTGTGGACCTTCTATATATGCAGAATTCCTGGGTTAGTTGATTGTCGCATTGATATATAACCCATGTCCCAATGGCATTGGCATTGAAAACATGTTATATATGTATGGTGGTAGACATACAGGGCCCTCGCCGAAATCCTTCTCAGGCTTCTGGAAAGACATCTTGAAATGTAGTTTTGAGACGGTGGGGTGACCGGTGGGATTTGAGATGCTGTTGGACCTGAAGGTTAGTTGCTGTCGTCGACGAGAGGCAGGAGAGAAAAGGAGTGAGGGAGGGGGGAGAGCATACCGCAAGGGAGGCTGGACTGCCAATCAAGACCTGAACTATCGGGGTTCGGTAAGGTGATGATGGCCGTTGAGGAGAGAGTCTGGATGGTTTGCCGGGCGGAATAACAATTATCGTGCAACTTTTTTTTTGTTCAATTTTTATTCATCCGTTCTTTCTTGCTTGTGCGGGTGGAGGGCTTGGCGCTCGGCTAAGTAGCTGGTTCGGGAGCTAGTGGCTCGTTGTGGTTAGATCACTGGTTTGGAAGAGGAGGGCGGTGAGTCAGCGGGATTGGGGAGGCTCGGTTTGGATGGTTCAACAGTCAACTAGTAAGTATGTCCTGGGAACTAAATGCTAACTCCGGAGATGGAGGGATATGGTGGTGAGGGAGGTGGTTGTAATGGTGAATGTGGCTGTTAAGTATTGAACTATGAGATTAATTTTATTTTACTAATAATTGTACCTGACATTTCCCTCATATTTATCTAGTAGTATAGATAGAAGAGTACAATAGCTAGTCAGGTCATAGTCCTTGACAGCATAACAAGGGTGATTAGGACAAAGATGATGATGGTGTAAATAGTCTAGTATGAAATAGCATGTGGTAGGGGTTTTTCCTGTCGGTATGATAGCTTACCTTAATGGTGATTGCATACATGGGATAACTGATGATCGAGTATGGCTTCCAGATACAATGGAAATATAAGGCACAAGAGTACAAGTTTATTCTGATATTCATGTAATATATAATGCATTCTATATACCAATAAATCACAGACCGGGGCATTAACTCATTAGGCACTGCACTGCGAGGCACTCAAAAGCCATCAGTCATATCCGGACCATCACCAGAAAGACTATATAGTGCTGTGGGGTAGGGGTGGGGTGGCGTAGCGTAGCGTAGAGTGGGACTATTTACAACAAGGATCTGGGGGATAGTACATGTTTGATAAAGTGACAGAAGGGATGCATCTAGCTTGGTCGCTGACTCGCATAGATAATCTTCAATGGCTTTAATGATGATCCGAGAACACACCATTTTCCGCGCAGGATTTCCTGCACTCCTCGAGAATGCGGACCTGCTTTGCGACGTCGCCGAGTTTGCCAATCACCTCTTTGTTACCATCGTAGAAGGTGAAGATGGTATAGGGGATGCCAGTGTCGCGGCAAAAGTCGAGCACCAGGCGCTGGGTCCGACGCAGATTGTGCCGAGGAATGCGGGGGTAGAGATGATGGATGGCTTGGAATTGAAGACCACCGTGGAAGAAGTCGAGCCAGGTCGGGCAGTCGACATCCATGGTGGTGCGGAGCATTCGTTGCGGGAAAGACTCGTTGACTCCCATATCGGAGGTGGACATGGCGAAGTGAGAAAGCGTGATCTGCACGTGCAGCGGAGAGGTAACCATGTGAGAGACGAAAAGGAAGGCAAGCCGGCTGCTCCAGTCCGGAATCGAGCGGTACATCACTCCATAGCCAAACCAGATCCAGAAAAAGACCTGACCGCCAATCTCAAACCACCGATGCCACCAGGCGGGACCTTTCTTCGGGGCTTGGCCCGTGAAAAGGTATTCCCAGCTCAGACGATACAGGTTGAAACGTCCAAACAGGAGGATGGGGTAGTAAAGGTAGTTCTGAAAGCGCAAGAGGAAGTTTGCAGCAGCATCGAATTCCATGATGCGGTCGTAGTAGGTGCTGCGAAGGCTGGTAAGGAAGCGATGGGAAACGGCGAAGAATGGCATGTGTTCGATATCAGGGTCGTGTTCGGGGGCGTTCGTCACGATATGGTGGACATTGTGGCTGCGTTTCCACCACCCCAGGCTGAGTCCTCCGAGATAGTCGGCGATAATGATACCAATCACCGTGTCGACGTGGAAGTTGTGCGTAATGCCCATATGGCCAGCATCATGGGCAGTAAACACAAGCTGATGCCAAAAGCATCCAAGGAAGAAACCTGAAGTCGCATACCATCCAATCTGGAGGAAATAGTAGGACAAGGCAGCGAAGAGCGTATATCGGCAGCATTCGATAAAGTACGAGAAGTAGCGACAGTCATAGAGCCCCTCCGCACGGATCTGCCTGTCCAGATCACGATACCTCTGCTTGATCTTCTCCTGATTGTCCAAATCTAGCGAGGGGTATTTGGCCGTATCGAAGACGAGTTCCTCCTGCGTGCGCGCATCGAGAAAGAAGGGTTTCGGTTGGAACTCTTCGCTTTTGGCGGCCGAGGCTGGGGTTGCGGGCACAGGTTTCCGCTGGCGGGCACCTGACGTGCTATCGACGGCATCAAAGATCGGGGATGGCGGCTGTGACGTTTCTTGACCGGAACTCTCCTGGCCAGAGCTCTCTTCATCGGACAGACAATCCTCGGTATACGGACGAAACTTTCCGCCCTGGATGGGTGGCAGGAAGTTCACCCATGGGCCCTCGATGCGACCGATCTGAAAGGACAACATTCGCTGGCGCGCTTCCTTGGAGTGTAACCTGTAGCAGAGAAAAGACGGAGTCAACGGTCTGTTCGCATCCGGGCCTCCCGGGGTTCATGGGGGCTACATACGCGTTGATCTCATCGGTGGCATCTTTCCCAACCATGTGCCTGATGGACTTGTCTCCTCCAGGATGGTAGGGAATCCACGCATCGACCCTGAGTACGCGACCGTCGAAGATGATGACATGCTTGCCTTCAGAAATCAGGCCCTCGATATACCTTCGGGACAAAGTGGTGTCCTTCCGGGCCGCGGAGGTAGAAGGAGCGGTGACCATGGTACAGTTGCAACAGGTACCTGTGTAATTCCAACCAAGGGATCGGGGACAGGGGATGGTTACAAAGAGGGTGAATGATCAGCCCAAGGGGGCATCGTATAGTGCAAAGACCTCGTAGGGGGGAAGATTAGAGGGGGTAGTGGAATGAGGTGATACAATCCAGAGACGGAGAGAAAGAGACCAGATGGAGGTAGAAGGACAGGATGAAGATGGAACTACTACTAATAGAAAAAGCGGGGACGCGAAGGTGAAACGTGCCGGCGATCGTCACCCGATCCAGCGAGTGTCATTCCACCCACATTTCTGTCTCCGTCTCGCCCATTCATTCCCCGTTCCATCATCATCATCATCATCACCACCACCATCATCATCACTGACCTACTATTATTACTTCTTAGCTTCAATCTCCAGCTTGCTTTCTTCCCTTTATTTTGTTCTTAGTTTATTTCTTCCCCTCCTTTAATTCCCTTCCCACCGCCTCTTCTGTATTTCTCTTCCCCAGACTCCTCCTCTCCTCCCCTTCTCCTCCTTTACCCCCCCAAAACCCAAGCTCTGATCCGCGAGTCCCTCCGCTCCCCCCTCCACCGTCCGTCTTCTTCCCCCAGTTCGGTTGTCAGCGTCGTATGATCCAACATGGCCGCCAACCCAGGAGAGGTATAGTTAACTCCCGGTGTGCGCGGCTACACCACGCCTCTATCTAAATCGATAGGGGCAGAAAAGTAGTGTGGATGTTCTGACTCGGTCCGCCTGGTCCTTTCTGACAGGATTCCCTCTCTCCGCTGATCCAAAAATGGCTTGAGTGGGACCAAGTAAGTCCCCTACATTTGTCAGGTTCCGATCCGCCCAGCTCGGCTTTAACTCCCCCCCATAGTAATGGTGGTAGTGGAGGTATTGCTGTTGCTCAATGCTCTTACTCATGCGCTTTCCTCATCAACCTTCAACCTTCCGAAGTCTCACTGCTAATGCCCAACCCTATTAGGATGCCTCTACTCGCGGGGAAATTGAGCGGTTGCGCGATGCAGGAGAGCTGGCGGAGTTGCAGCAGCGCCTGCAAAAGAGTACGTGTGGGCTCGAGACATGCTTCATCTGATCTTCTCGTACCGAATTTAGGCTCTTTACGCTCCCCTGCCTGTCATGTCTAATCCGCATAAACTGCAGGAATCCAATTTGGCACCGCTGGTCTCCGGGGTCGCATGGCAGCGGGCTTCTCTTGCATGAATTCTTTGACTGTTATTCAGGCATCGCAGGGTCTGGCGATGTACTTGAAGAAGCATCATGGTGATATTGCCTCCTATGGCGTCGTCATTGGCCATGATGCCCGCTACAATTCCGCCAAGTTCGCCGCTCTGGCAGCAAATGCTTTCATCGCACAGAGGATCCCGGTCTGGTTCTACTCCGAGCCTTCTGTTACGCCGACGGTGCCTTTCGGTGTAACCCAACTGCATGCTGCTGCAGGCATCATGGTTACGGCAAGCCATGTAAGGCACCCCTGTCTGTCAATTTAAAGATCATGTGGCTAATCCTGCCCTAGAATCCAGCACAAGATAATGGTAGGTTGCCATGGCTTGCTCCTCGACAGCCGGACCGTATCACTGACGGACGTGGCGAACAGGTTACAAAGTGTCTGGTTGCGCTCATCCAGCCTGTTTTGATTATCACTAACATGCTCCAGCTATTTCAAAAATGGCGCCCAGATCAATACCCCCATGGATGTGGAGATAGCTCGATCTATCGAGGAGAATCTGACACCCTGGCCCAACGCTTGGAAAGACTTGCAGCCCGGTGAATATTTGCGCCCCAAGGCGTACGACAATCTCCTGCCACACTACAACACAGCAGTATGGCAATACGCTGTGAGTCTAGTTGCATTGTGCTTTGGTAACACGGGCTCACCCTTTTGCAGACATACACAGTGCGGGAATGGAAGCAGCCACAGCCATTTGTGTACACTCCTCTGCATGGTGTAGGAGGCCTGGTATTCCCCAGCTTGTGCCGTTCCGTTGGTATCAAAGATTTCACTGTCGTCCCAGAACAAGAAGAACCGAACCCCGACTTTCCCACGGTAGCTTTTCCCAATCCCGAAGAGGTTGGAGCTTTGGATCTCGCCATGCGCACCGCGGATCGGGAGGGCAGAGAACTGATTATCGCACATGATCCGGATGCAGACCGCTTTGCGGCTGCTGAGAAGGTCAAGTATGTATCCGCTGCCTTTCAACAAAGGACCCCACTAACCAACTGCAGTGGATCGTGGTTCACTTTCACCGGAAACCATTTGGGAGTACTGCTTGCATCGCACTTGTTTGATTCCTTGGAGACCATCGACAGCGACACACGAATCGCCGTACTCAACTCGACCGTCTCGACGTGCATGTTGGAGAAAATGGCAAAGGCAAAGGGGATGCATTACGAGGAAGCATTGACCGGTTTCAAGTGGATGGGCAACATCGCGCGAAGACTCGAAGAACTCGGCTACTATGTTCCATTCGCCTTTGAAGAAGCGCTTGGATACATGTTTCCGGAAGTGTGCTACGACAAGGACGGTATTTCCGCCGCCATGGTGTTCTTGCTAGCCCAAGCCAAATGGAATGCTCAAGGACTCACCCCATATACGAAGCTTCAGCAACTCTTCAAGGAACATGGGCACCACGAGACTCTCAACACCTACGTCCGATCCACGGACCCAGAGCTCACCATGGACCTATTCCGAAAGATCAGATCTGGACAGTTCGGCGCCGGAAAGTCCTTTGGCTCCTTCAACATCCAGCGATGGCGAGACCTGACGGAGGGTTACGACTCGGGAACCGAGGACCACACGCCCACACTTCCGGTTGATAAGAGCACCCAGATGCTGACACTATGGCTGGATCGGGAAGTCAGATTCACCATTCGTGCATCGGGCACAGAACCCAAAGTCAAAAGTACGTCGAAAACTCATACAGAGCCATTGCGCAATGCTAATCTTGATTCTAGTCTATATTGAGAGCAGCGGAGCATCGCAAGACCAAGCCGTCGAGGCTGTCCGTGACACATTCCTGACCGTTATCAAAGAATGGGTCCAGCCTTTTGCTCCAGCCATGACGTACAACGAGCAACAGGTTACATCCTCGGGCATTAAGTTTCCGGTGAAATAAGCAGCGAGTAAGAGTGAAGAGGTGCTTGGGCGAAATCTTTTATTATGTTCCATGAATGACTATAGAACACAGCTGGGGGGAGGTTAACCCCGGCCCTGTGTTGCCATTTCAGCAAGACTAGCATGAATACGACGCAATGAATCTCTACCGTGATGATCCGGGTAATGATTCGAAGTAGGGCTGTAGCAGTGGTGTTTCCGAAGTACGTATTGGCACGAAATGTAGGCTGCTAACTGTTATACCCGTTATACTCCGTATACTAGACTAATTCCACCTGCTGCAGTTATCCAACGACACAACCAAAGCACCCTCTCCCTCTAATTCCCTACAACTAGATGGTATATAACTTCAAACAACCGGCCGATCCACCCACCCACACCAATACCTAACCCAATACTTCGCCGCCAGCAACCAATACCTAACCGCATCATGCCAAATCGCACTCAACAGCGACGGATTCTGAAAATACTCACCAAACCAAACACTCCTCGCCCAATGCAACTCTCCCGCCCTAGCAACCCTATACTCCCACTCTTCCTCCGCAGCAGCACCCCTTCCACCACCACTCACCCCGTCCCTCCCCACCAACTCCCCCATCAACCGCGCATGCATCGCCGCCTGATTCGTACTAAACGCAATATGCGGTCTCAAAAACACCGCGGCATCACCCACCAACCTCACCCTACCATCCAAAAACCACGTCTTCCCCGCCGGCGGGTAATCCGTAATCAGATGCAGAAACGGCGCGTCAATCATCCTCAGAAGTTCCATATACGGCTCTGGGAAATCCAGCACCTGTTTCGCCAGCGCCCGTTGCGAGTCCCAGATCCTCGCTGGCACTAGGCCCCGTGGCACGGTGGTGTGATGGCGCACGCCGTGGATGTCGGTCATGAGTGTGGGGAGGTCCTCCGCGGCGACGTTCTGGTACCAGCAGAGATTGAGGTAGCGGGTTCCGGGGGCGATGGAGCCGTTGGGTCCGGGGATGTGGTAGACGATTATGTGGGAGCCGTGGGTGGGGTGTTTCCGGATGTTGTAGGTCATGTTGGATGAGAAGAGGGAGAGGGTTGTGGGTGGGACTTGGCTTTCGTGGATGATGCCCCGCCAGGCGAGGTAGCCGGCGTATTTGCGGTGGTTTTCATTGTTGGTGGCGGATTGAGGGGATGGGGGTAGGAAGAGTTGGCGGACGATGGAGCGGGGGCCGTCGGCGCCGAGGACTAGATCTGCTGTGTGTGTTGCTGTGGTTTTTGTGCTGGTACTCTCTGTGACGATGGCTAGCTTCCCTGTTGATGGAATCTCAGATATGTCGATAACTCGCTGGCCATAGTCGTATCGTGCGCGAGCTCGTGCCTCACTTGGAGATTCATCTGGGAAGGTAGGGAGGGCATCTGGAGGGTTAGGGATGTAGTCGCTGGCTAGACCGTCGTAGTTGGCACGAAGACGGAAATACAATGCATCCCAGGAGGTCATGGTGCGCTGGATGCGAAGGAAGGGCTGTGGTTGGCCTGCGTGGTCTACGGTTTGGAGCTGAGTGGCTGGGATTCCTAATGGAATGTGGGAGACGCGGTCGTAGCGTGAGAGGAAAGCTAGGACGTCGGGACCTATGCTTACGCCGGCCATGTGGGAAGGTGGGGTGGGATTGGGGCTTTGTTCGAGGATTTGGATGGTGTGGCCTTGTTGGTGGAGGGTGATGGCTTGCATGAGAGCTGAGAGGGAGCCGCCGACCTGGGTGATTGGTTAGTTGTAGAAGTGTTAAGAGAGAAGGGATGTTGGTTACAATAACTATCTTCAATGGGGATGGGGACGCCATGGTGGGTGTGATAGGAAGAGCTAAGTATATCTGATGGTAGGAGGGAGGGGGGGAAGGATGAATAAAGATGGAGGAGGAAGAGAAAGTGAGAAGGGGGAGGTTAGGGTTCTTATACTACTGGCGAGGGGATCATACTACTACTGCTTCGCCCCCTCCTCAACCTCCATCTATTCATGTCGATTTGCATATTATGGCAGCACTAACAGGCTTGCATCAGTGAGTTGTAACCAATCAGCCAATTCAAGTAGTGCTACTATCAATAACCCTAGTTGGGGGCTGATGGTCCGCCCAATGCTATATAAAGAGGGCCCGAGACGCCTGCTGGGATCGAGTTTTCCATCGTTTCTATTTACCCCAACCCTTAGTAGTAGTTCTTCTACGTCGACTTTCAAATTAATTCCCTAAGACCCCACGACAATGTCTCGCTTCCCTGCCATTCCTCCAGACCAACAGACCGCCGAGCAAAGCGTGGTCGAGCCCAGTGCCCGCCGCATCTTCTCTCATCTGCCTCCCGAAGTACAATGGCAGGGTCCCTCAGGCGTCATTCTGGGCCCTTACTCTCCTCTGTAGTACGTACAAATCCTCTCTTTTGACTTCTCTCAATCACAATTCCATCCAAATAACTAACCACAACCCAAAACCAGCTACACCCCCTCCATCATCAAACCCTGGTTCTCCTTCGCCTACTCCATCGGGTCCCAACCCCACGTCACAGCGCGCGAGAAGGAGCTCGCCATCCTCGCTACTTTAGCTGAACACAAGGCGCCCTATGTCCAGTACGCCCATTCTCACAGTGCCCGCGCTGCAGGTTTCTCCCAGGAGCAGATCGCGCAGGCGCTGCAGGGACAACACCAGCAGCCTCCTGCCGGGTTATCGGATGCTGAGCAGGCGGTCTATATGGCAGCCTTGGCGATGGCGCGGTCGAGGGGTCCCATCTCCACGGAGGATTTCGATACAGCAGTGGCTGCCCTGGGCAGGGAGAAGGTGGCGGAGTTGGCTCATGTTGTAGGCGGGTATATGTATGTTTGCTTGCTGTCGAATTTGGCAAATGAGGAGGTTCCGGGTGGGGGTGTGGTTGGTGAGGAGGATGGGAGGGTTGATGAGTAGAGAGTTGTTGGTGGTGGTAGTGGGGTTTGTGGTTTTTTGTCTGTGTGCTTTTTTGGTCTGTGTTAGTTTTTGTTTTTGATTTGCAGGACTGTTTCTTTTTTGGAGGTTGTTTGCGATTTTTGAGGAGGACCTTGGATTTACCTTGTTTGAGGTAGGTAGAGAAGAAAACGGACTTGCGTAGCCAAAAACGACATAAAACTCCTTAAAACATGTATTCACCTCATAATGATACCTTCACTTTATATGAACCACTGCCCATTCTCGAGCAACCATCCTCCCCAACGCAGAAACCGGTAGCTCTCCCAAGATATCGAAGACAGGCAAATCGACCCCGGCCTCTTTCAGGACCCAGTTTCGTAGATCTACCGCCGTTAAGGAGTCAGCTCCGGCACGATGAAATGGCTCCTCTACGTTCAACTTCGCCCGAGGCATCAGAACCATTTGACAGAACCGCTCGGCCAGGGCTTCCGTGGCGGTGGTGGTCAGGACCTCTGTTGTGGTGGACTTGACAGTATCATTTGTGCCGTTGGCTACAGCGGATAGCGCGCTGTGTAGGTCGAGGTGATTCTCCGATTGGTTATTGGAGTTGCTATCGCGAGGTTGTTGCTTGTCGATGTCATCGTCTGCGTTTGTGGGAACGTAAATCTGCTTCCAGAATGGCTGATCCAATGTGACGGGGAGTTGCATGTTCAGCTGCTTATGCAGCGAAGGACGCATGAACCCCGTGGCCACCTGAGCGGGCAGTTCCTCAATGGGAAGAGTGGGATTGCAGAAATGCTCGAACATGGCCAGAATATCAGTTTCCCGGAGCAAGTAGTGGAAATTAGTGGAGAGGAATCGATTGAAGAGTCCTGAAGCGTCCGTGAGGAGTCCTTTGGTCTCCAGGACGCCTAGGTCTAGAGATACTGCTCGCTCGCCCTGCGAGAGACGGTAACGTGCCAGCGCGTCCTGATAGGCGTTACCGGCTGCGTAGTTAATCTGGGTAGCCTGGCCCATCAGTCCAGTTAGAGAGGCAGCCAGGATGAAGAAGTCGAGACCGCGAGGCAATAGGGTGTGCAAGTTCCAGGAACCGGAAGCTTTAGGTTCGACGGAAGATTGCCAGTCCGTGAAGGTCATGCGGTCGTACATCACGTCTCGCAACACTCCTGTCATCTGGATGCATCCCTTGATTGGGGGCATTGTCTGTTTGCACTCATCCAGTACTTGCTGTAGCACTGTCATATCTATGATGTCGCAGGCTGGTTCACAGACTGTGATGCCTCTGGCTTCTAGCTCTTCAATCATTCTTCGGGATGCTTCATTTCTCGGCCCGGAGCGTGATAGGAGAATCAAATATCGCGCACCACGTCGCACCATCCATTGGGCTACACATCGGCCCAGGTCTCCCAAACCCCCAGCAAGGAGGTATGTTGCATCTGGATCGAATGAATAAGCAGGCTGGCGAGGTTTGCGGATCTAGGATATCACGAATTAGTCTCCGTACTTGAAAGCAAGTAAATGAAGTATTAAGAGGCATTACTTACCGGAACAACATCGTCATCATCAAATTCGATCGTAATTTGCTTCCTTCTCGTACTTCTCGACTGGTTCAACAGGGTGGAGAGCTTGACCAAGTTAGAAGTAGTAATTGCCGTTGGGGTGGTTTTCGGCGCCACCACAGCTGATGGCATCCGCAGCCGCGGACGTTGACGATGCAAGAGCTGGGCCACGTCGACAGTATGCAAGGACATGTTGGCTGGTATGCACAGCTTCTGAGGACTAGATGATCCAAAGCGAGGATCGCCGCCGATAACACGAATGACTGCTCCAAAGGGTGCTACCTGTTCGGCTAGATCTAAGAGATCCGAGTCGACAAAGTCCAGCACGATATCTGCACCATCTTCAGGGCCAGAAAAGCGAGGTTTCCTCAGAAACGAGGAATACGTAAACACAGACACGGATTCGTCATTCTTTGCCTGTTCCCAAATTTCATCTGTCTCGCAGTTTGAGTCTGATGGAATAGTAAGCAAAAGCCTAGAGAATCGGCCTGCCATCAGGTCTACCACCACTCTGGCAATGCCCGTGTGGGCTCCATGAATAACAATTGCTGGAGCACTTCCGGCAAACGATGACATCAGGCCGACAATGTACTCTGCGACGAGATATCTTTGTGGTAGAACAGCTGCCTCATTGAAGCTCAAAGAGCTGTCAATACGAGCCACCAGAGATTTGTGCGTGCGAACAGTGGAGGTCAGAGTGTCGTCGTCGTCATCGACGTTGCTGATACTGCTGCTATAGTAGACACCGCAGACCCTGTCACCGGCCAAGAACGGACTATTGCGACCAACCTGGACAATGCGTCCCGCGCATTGTCGGATTCGGCCAAGTTGATCATCAAGTCGCACAGCATGAACTGCGATTTCCACCTCGTCCGGCCCAAGAGCCTGAGATGGTTTTGTATGCTCCGCATCAATTTGAAGGGAACATGCAATTTCAGCATTGCCACCAGAAGTAGGCTCCTGTGGCCAATGTACCGTGAACGGCCGAATATCCCCGAGGCGCTCAGATGTCGTCTGGGAGCCGTCCAAAATCTCCTTGATATCACTCTTCAAGGGAAGGTCTTCTTGAATCCGACGAACATATACCTGGTTATCTTTGATACTGTAGTCATCCCGGCAGTCCGGGGATGAGCTCGTCATCATCAGCTGATTCAATGCAACTTTTAGGGTCGCCTCTAAGGACTTGAGACCTTCGGACGACGCCATTGATGCTGCATCCATGTGCAATATCTGCAAAGGAATCTGTGGATTCTCAATGCGAAACACCTGAGCAAAGCCATCTATCATGCCGAAACTCGGATGGCGCTCATCATCATTCGACAACCAAAGTACTTTTCGTGCCCCGAGGAGCAGGGCCTTCAGACGCTCAAAGCTTCCTTCGCCGTGAAGTCGTCCCAAGATTGACGATATGTTGTCCAGGTCAAGTAGACTAATAATCACCGATCCTGGGGGAGTTGTCTGCGGGTACATCACGACACGGGGTCGGTACTCCGATTCCTCTGCATCGAGAACGTCCATCAGTCGGTTGGCCAAGTTGATCTGTAGCGCGGAGGATGGCTCAACGACCAATATAACGTCAACGTGGGATGGAGAAGAGGAAGACGAAGACACGATTGCAGTCTGCTTCTGCATCTCCTCAGCAGTGGCAACTATCACGCTCATCAAATGGCTTTCTTTGTCTGCATAGTCACGTAGGACAATTTCCGCGCCGACAAATCCACTAGCCCGCATGATCTCGTCCCATCTAGCTTCGCTGACGACCGGGCTCATCGGACGATTATCTGTCGCGTCTGGCCACCAGCCTGGCAGCAAGCCAAACGAGAATCCTACTTCAATGTTATCTGGACGGGTCACCTCGTGCAGTATAAGTTGACCACCCGGTCGAAGTAGACGACGGAGGGCTGTCAAGGTTTTCTCCAGGTTTCTGGTAACATGTAGCGCATTAGAGGCCACGATAAGATCGTAAGTGCTCTCTGTGAAACCCTGCTCAAGGAGATCCTGCTCCGCATCCAGAATCTGGAACGCAATGCGGCGGCCATGAGGATGGGATGCAAGTCGCTGCTGGGCCCTGTCAAAGAAGGCTGGGGAAATATCGGTGTATTGGTAAGAGCTCAAGCTTGTCCCCGACAAGCAAATTCCATTCAGTACATGGTCAGTGAAGGAGCCCGTACCGGCGCCGACCTCCAGGATATCCATGTCAGGGCGATTGAAAGCCATTGTGGCTACATAGCGTTCGACCTTTTTCAAATAGATCGAGACAGAGGACTCGTAGGCCTGATAGAAGTCATTGACTAGGTTGCTTTCGAAAAGCAGCTGCACGATATCAACCTCTCCATGAAGGACCCCAAGGGCGTGGTCTGCCACAGTCAGGTAGAAGTTTCCCAGACGGCCTTGTGCCGCAATCTGGTGGTGCAAATTTGCCTCTTCCTCTGCGTTCATGATAACCGGTGCCTTCAACTGAACCTTTTGGGCTAAGTGCCATTCCATCCAGGCGACGTATCGCTGTAGATGCGGTTTGGCAGGTATTTTGGATGGATTTAGAGCGTCGTAAATCTTTTGCATCTGAAGAGTAAGGTATTGGCGCACATTGCGGAAGAACTCTCTCGGACCAGGGGGGTCAACACCGCATTGGTCTTCCAGGTACTGTAGTATGTTTCCTGGTGTGCTAGCTGATATCGCCAGGTCCGTCTTCACTGTGTACCATGACTTGCCATCATCCTTTTGGTCGTTAGACGGGGAAACTGCAGTTTGGGAATTGTCGTTGACCTCGCTGTCTATGGAAGACACTGCCGTCGTCTCGAGTCGATCTAGAATTAGTTGCGGGCTTTGGCCGTCTGCTTTTTGGGATAGAACATATCCATTATAGGACTTGTTTCGGGGACCATCAACCTCAATCTGCATGGCCGCAGAGACGCAGTCCTGACCTCTGGCAATCATATCGGCCCATCCCTTCCCAGTGATCCATAACCGATCAATAGCTGAGATCACCTGCGTCGGCATGCCCTTCATAGTTCCTCGGTTCTGAGCCACCAAACTAAGTTGCAGGAATGCATCGAGTGATGCCGGGTGGATGGGGTACTCGTCCATCTCTGGAGATGATAGACATGGTTGTGCTAGATCGAGTGACGCCAGAGCGGTGCCAACTCCATCAGTCTGGATGGTCTTCATGCCTTGCGTTGAGGGGCCATAGTGGAAGCCGTGCTTTTTGAGGTGGTCGTAGAACTTTGAGGCTGGAACTTGGATGGTACACTCCGTGATTTGCTTGTCCCATTGGGATTGATAGTGCTTCACCTCTGCCTCCTCTTCTTCCTCCGTTTTTTGGTCTGTCTGCTGGCTTAGATGTACCTCAACTACCCCTTGGCAGCTCATTTGCCAGGAATTTTCTTTAGTCATCGAGTACACGACAAAGTTCCACCGTGATACCCCGTCCGCCTCCGGAGGCAGTGAGGCATTGTTCAAGCAGAGTCGAGTCTCGAGCACATCCGAGCCACTGCTGCCCGTCTGCTCAGATCCTCCTTCTAGCGCAATGGGCCGATGGAAACGCACAGAGCGCAGAACGTAGGCTTCAATGGCACGACCTGAGGTTTCTACCATTTGACGGGTGGCTTGCAAGGCCATGACCATCATAGCAGCAGCCGGATAGATGACACGACGATTGATTCGATGGTCCCGGATCCATGGCATGTCTGCAGCTTGCACACAGTTCCGCCATTCGGGGGCCAGAGGGTTCCATGTCGGAACCGGGCTTCCCAACAACGCTAAGCGGCCATGCGACCGCAGCCGATAGTTCTGGCTGAGTGGGCTCTCTGCCCAGTAGGACTCGGAATGATCGAAGGGGTAAGTAGGTGCGTCTATGAGGACTTCATGGCAGCGACCTGGGTCGTTAACTGCGCGCAAATCAAGCGAAGTCCCCGCGCAGTAGAGCTGACCAAGAGCAGACAGCAGGGTGGTGGATGCTGGCTGGCCCCGCACGAGCGTCGATAGGTAGGTGCAACGGTCTTTTTGACTGTCATTTAGCGCGGCCAGTGTTTCGAAGATGGGCAATCGCAACGCGGAGTGAGGGCCAACTTCGATCAGATGATCGACCACTATGGCTTTCCGATGGCTTCCGTCGATCTTCTTCCGGAGGCAACGTGGAGAATCACGACACAGACGTTGAATGGCCGGAGCAAACAACACAGGCGATATCAAATTGTCCACCCAGTAGCTGGCATGGCGAGCGCGCTCACCGTCTAGGGGCTCTCCAGTCACGGTAGATATCATGGGAATCGTTGAGTGTGAAGTATGAGAGTGATGACCCGCTTCAAGGTTCCCGAAGTGACGCCGGCAGTCATCGGCGATCTGTTGTATTTGAGGGGAATGATATGCTGCAGCAACTTTGAGGCGACGCGAAAAGATGCCTGCATCTCTTAGCACCTGGTCCAGATACTTGATCTGGCCTTCCTCGCCGGAGATGGTCGTGTTTGAAGGACTGTTGATGCACGCGACGACCACTTTCTCAGGCTCGGGTAACTGAGCTATATATGACTGGGCTTGCGTCGCAGACAGTCCAACCGCCAACATGGCGCCTTTGTTGGGGTCTTGCTCGATCATAGAGGCCACGAAGTAGCCACGGTAGTATGCGATACGCAAAGCTGAGCTACGTGATATAAAACCCGCACAGTATCTAAGGAAAGTTAGCAACCTGAAGAACGAAGCAGAAGGTTCTTTCCTACGCCGCAGCAATTTCACCCATCGAATGGCCCACGACGGCCAAAGGCCGCACCTGAAAGGAGTCTAGAAGATCCACTAAGGCTATCTGCAACGTAGCCGTCAGGGCTTGGGAAATATGTGGCTCGTTAATTTGAGATGTAAACTCGCTTTTCATGAACTCCTCTGAAGTGAAGTGCAAGAGTCAGCTATGAGCATGCAACGAGCGTTGTACACATAGTAGGTCTGCCCCCGACTCACCTCTTGCGGACCAAGGACAACCTAGCTGGCGAAACAGAGTATCGGCCTCCATTAGGACACGGGAAAATGCAGGATAATGCAGCAATTCCCGGCCCATTGCATACCATTGTGCTCCCTGGCCGGTGAAGATAAACGCTAACCGAGGGGGCGTCGGGCAGGTGAGCTTCGGCGCCGAGGCACGCTCGTTCAGTTGCTCCCAGTCGGTGGAAGAGGATGCCACTGCATAAGTTTTCCAAGGGAAGACGCTACGGCGTGAGTCAAGCGTGTAGGCGGCATATGCTGTCCAAGACGGCTCGCGTAGATGCTCTCCGCCAGATATCGTTTCCGCCCAGCGGCTCACAAGCGATTTGAGGGATTTATCACTTGCCGCAGACCAAACAAGTAATCGTGGGATCTCAGTCAAGCCTTCTTGTTGCGGTAACAACTCCCCATTACATCGCATGTGTTGCGGCCGACGCATGAACTGCTCGAGGCTACGATCATCGTCCGGCACGGTTCGATGATTCCCCTGTAGCTGGTGTCGTCGGAGATAGCTTGCTGCATCATCGATGACAATGTGGCAATTACTGCCTCCAAAACCAAAGGAGTTAATTGAGGCGCGACGGATCTCAGCTGGAGGCCAGATGATGCCCTGCGCCGGGGGTACAGCTAAACAAGAATCATAGGGTTCCAATTGTGAATGCAGTCGCTCGAAGTTGGTGTTGGGCGGGATGATTCCGCGCTCCACGGCCATGATAGCCTTTATAACACCGGCTATCCCGCTTGCACCTTCCAGGTGTCCGATATTGGTCTTAACAGCACCCAGGTATAGCGGACTATCTGCCGTGCGGTGGTTGCGAAAGCAGTCAGCAATAGCGGATACCTCGGCTGGATCGCCAATCGGCGTGCCGGTGCCATGGGCCTCGAAAAACCGAGTATGATGTAGAGAAAGTCCCGCTTGGGCATAGTTCTCTCGAATGAGCTGAGATTGGGCCTCACTTGCAGGCTGTGCGATGCCGGGAGTGCGGCCGTCTTGATTGCTGGCCGTGGCACGGATGACAGCGCGAATGGTATCATTGTCGCGAAGGGCATCAGAGAGGCGCTTAAGCACAAGAACAGCAACGCCTTCTCCACGTGAGTAGCCGTTGGCACGGGCATCGAAGGTGTAAGAGCGGCCATCGGGCGACAGCATGTGGTTGTTGCTGAGAATAATGCTGTAGTCCGGGTCGAGGAGCAGGTTGCACCCGGCGGCAAGACCCATATCAGTTTGGCCACTGAGAAGAAGACGGCAAGCACAGTCAATAGCCAGAGCACTACTAGAGCAAGCCGAATCTATATTATAGGACGGTCCACGCAGATTGAAGAACCAACTGATTCGGTTGGCCAGCATGGACGGAGAGGCGCCGACAGCTGCGTAGGGCGGTAGTCGTTGAGGGTCTTTGAGCAATTGATGGAGGTAATCATTGGAGAAGCAGCCGGTATGGACTGATGTCCGAGATCCATGCAAATCTTTCATCCGAATCCCAGCCGTGTCTAGAGCCTCCACTGTGGTCTCAAGGAGCAATCGCTGCATGGGATCCATGGCCGCTGCCTCAGATGGGGTAATTGAAAAGAAGTCAGCATCGAAGCGACTCAGGTCTTCTTTCAGGAAATGTGCGCCACGCGTGCCGAGCTCATTACGTCGCGTAGGATGGTAGAAGGCGTTGATATTCATTCGATCCTTGGGGAACTCAGTGCGTGCACTGCGGTGTTCCATGAGCATCTTCCAGAAGCCATCCTCCGAAACGGCGTCCTGAGGAAGCTTGAGCCCAATACCACATACGGCAATGGGCTCCGCAAACTCACGATCCTCATCGAGATGGTAAGCGCCCTCGCTGGACGTACTTGGCGTTGGGTGTCTTTCGAAGAACATTGGTACAACGTGCAATACTAAGAGATAGAGAAAGCATCTCAGTCATTGAGATGGGCTTGAACAATTCCGGAAGGAGGACAAGAGAGTGAGCTGCCTTTATACCTCAGCCTTCCTAGGCAGTCTGAGCCTCTGTCCATAAGCGAAGCAAAGTAGGAAGATGTCGTAAGACACCTCGGGTTTTCCAGATATTGACTAGTCATCAGCTACCCCCAGGCCATCCCTCCAAAGCAGTATATAATTCGTGCAAATAACCCTGGAAGAGCCCAGCAGAATCCTACCCCAATCCTCCGAACAAATTTCTGCATCATCTCAATTAATTCGCCATTCTAGACTTAATCGCTCACCTTATTGACTATGCGCTTCTTGTGCCTCCATGGAGCTGGCACTAACAGCAAGGTCAGTTGCTAAATCACGATATCTTCGCAATCCATCATGGCTACTAACTCAAGCAACTGAACGTACAGATCTTTGAAGCTCAAACTGGTAGGAGCCAAAAACCCAGCCCTCTACTCAGCTCTCCTTCTCCCTCTCCCTTTCTGAAGGTGCACTCAATGGTTTGACTTGATCTGGACTAACTTCGCACCGCCCTCGGGGTGTGGGTTGACTAGCGGCACTACGATATGAACTTGGTGGTAATCATACGTACGAATTCGTCGAGGGCCATATCCCGCAGCCTCAAGCCCCAGGTGCGTCGTATTTACCCGAGTTTCATGCTCCAGTAAGACGGGCATTAAGGCTCGGTTATGCGAAGGGCGTGCTGGTGCATACTAATCAATATCCAAAATAGCAATCGAACGGTTCGCAACAAGCGGGGATGAGTACTATGCCTACTACATCCCTGGTAGCCAGCCGTCATTTACCACCGCCAAGGCGCATTTGCAGGTTTACGTGGAAACCGAAGGACCATTTGATGGAGTGATCGCGTTTTCGCAAGGTGCCTCCCTGGCCAGTGCTTTGCTGCTTGGAGACGAGCACGCACAGGCACTGCCCTTTCGCTGCGCCATCTTGATATGTGGTCGTTTGCCAATGACAGACGAGCGTTCCTTATGCAATGTGATGGGGGCGGGAAAGGAAGGCCTGCAGAAGGAAGATGAGGAGAAGGTGGAGAATGATGATGACAGTGGTGGTTGGGACTGCAAGGAACGGCAAATCAGAGTTCCGACAGTGCATATCATGGCGGCTAATGACCCGATTGACCCTGGTCATGCTAAGGCCCTTTGGACCTGCTGCAATGCGGCAGTGCGGTGGGAGTATGTTCATGAATTAGGGCATGAGGTACCTGGGGCTCGAGACCAAGAGGTGTTGGTGGAGAGCGTCAACGCTATTCGACGCATGCTGGGCGCAGTGGGAAGCACGTGTTGAGAGACTGTATAATAATACACTTGCAGCTGACAGAGGAATGAGACTAGTCTTGAAACATACTATTTGCAGGGCTAGCCTACCTCCGTTCCTATTCATCCTCCCGGTCTTCGATCCTGAAGGACCCATAATAGGCGCAAACATTCTGCCCCCACCCTCCCTTCATGCCATCTAACGCATTTTCCCTTCCTTCTCATCAATGACAAACATCAATAGAAGTTCCCGCCGTGCCCCTCAGGCCATCCATGCGTTGGCCCCCAAAAGTAAGCACTAATGCATGCCCTCAAGGAAGGTGGGCGGACGGGCTGGGTAAGCTCGATGGACTGTATTTACGATTTTGGGATGGATGTTCTGTGACATTGACGGTTGTTGTACATCAGTAAGGGTCAGCATGGGCCTCAGCTCCATCCTAGCATGGCCGATCGACATCTGAGATAAGTTGTTCTCTATTTAGACCACCACCATCACCATCACCATCATCATTACCATCATCATTACCATTACCATTACCATCAGGCCAAGAAAATATCAGTCCACCTTTCGTACTGTCATAGTGCTGTCTTCACTGCCACCTTTACCATTGCTATCAGTATCGTTGAAGAAATCATGCCAGGCACAACGGAAGTCAATTTGCAAGAGGACCGAGGCCCACGCATGCGCGTTCTGCTAATTATTATGGCCATTTTACCAAGTATTGCCGTTGCTCTGCGGTTCTGGTCGCGAACGAAATTGCCCACGAAGGGCTCATTTCCACGCCTGTGGTGGGATGACTGGGCTGCTCTTCTGGCGGGGGTAAGTACTAGTATTCTGATTTAATCTCCGATTGGATTTGTTTTTCTCTTTCCTGTTTATTTTTTCACTAAATGTCAACAGATGATCAACATTGCCGTGTGTGCCATGGGACTCAAGATGTGCGACATTGGCATGGGGCGGCATGTGGAGGTGGTGTCAGCGGAGCATTTGACAATCTTCCTGAAACTTCTCTGGGCGGAGTATTTCGTGTTTGACACGGGCACTTCGGTGGCCAAAGCCTCAGCCTTGTTCTTCTACTCGCGGCTCTTCAGCCAGGCTAACACCCGCTTTCGATACTGCATCTATGTGGTGCATGCATTGAACGCCCTCTGGCTGGTGGGCATTCTCCTCTCCGTCATCTTCGAATGCACGCCGATCCAGAAGGTCTGGTACCCCACCCTGCCCGGTCGATGTGATAATTCCCGCATTCTGTGGATGGGCAGTGGCATTCCCAGTTTGATCATTGATGTCTTCATCCTGGTCCTTCCGGTGCCAATGGTCCTGCGGCTGAAGATGAATCCCACCCGAAAGATGCTGGCCATCGGTGTGATTGTGCTCGGTTATTTGTGAGTATTATTATTGTTGCCCACCCCTTTCTCCGATTTTATTAATAGAAGCCGCCATATTAATCGTTCGGCTTGCTTATGTTGTCTAGAGTGGTAGTTGTCTCTATTGGTCGACTCGTCTCGATCGTTCAATCCGGCGACGGACTTCAAACCGATCCTACCTGTAAGCCTCATTCCACCTGCCCTCGCCCCCTTCCCTTCCCTCCCTTTTCCCTTTCAGACTATTTCGCACCCTCAGTTTGAAGAAGCAAATCAAGAAAGATATTAATATCAAAAATAATGTTAATAATGATGATAATAACATACTAAACAGTTAACATCATTACTCCCGTCTATTGGCTGGGATCCGAGATCCCCATTTCGGTCATCAGTGTCTGTCTGCCCAGTATCTTTCTCCTCATCCGTCATCTCTGCGCCCGCCAATTCCAGTCTCTCGGCGGTGGCAGTACCAGCACGCCTCAAGATTCCTATGGTTCCTCCACCCGCAAGTTAATCTACCAGAAGCGCCCTGAGCGGGGTTCAAGCTTAGGGGGAGGCGTCCCCCGCGGCGACTTCCCGCATCCTGCAGATAGCAACAACGATATAGTCCCGCTTAATTGGGTGGAGCCGTCCATTATAGCTCCACAGTCGACGCGAGGGAGTGCACCTAGGGCCGGAGAGATTATGGTCAAGAATGATATCGTAGTGTCTTAACTAAGCTTACGTGGAAGCGAAGGGGGTGGCGTTGGCATTGACCGGTGTTGCTGTGGTTGATTAATTGTTCTTTTCAAGGTATCTTGTCAGGGTAAATAGCGGCAAGTCAGTCCGAAGTTCGCTTAGTGGCGTAGCAATGCATACAAAGGAATCTTACTTGCTTCGGTGAATTTGCCTAAGTGATAAGGCTGTGCCAACACGCTGCGGCGGCTGACTGCTGCATGGTGTATTGTCTAGCGTCAACTGCGCTGGCTTCCCTTTGCCGCTTCAGGTATTGATCGGTCTTCCATCCCTGCATGTCATGGCTGTGATGGCCCCCATCTTTTGCCGTGTGTCACCAGCTACTTTCTGGCTCGTCACTGACCTTACAGGGATAGTCCTCCAATTTGCAGCTCTAGAAAGCGCACCCTCATTCATACACTGGACTTAAGTATGATGTCTGAAGAACCCGCCATACGCTGGGAAGGGAACTGAGTGGTTTGCCTAAACGCCTCCCACGATATTCCCCATTTCGCATACTCTTGATCTTACCTTCTATGTCTCTCTCTTTCCTGTCAGTTCCTAAGAGCCTTGCACCCTTCAATTTCTAGTCTCATTTCATCATGTCCGAGACTCGAGCTTCAACAACGGTTGAGGGCCATGAGACAGCCACCAACGTTCCGGGCCATCACGATTCGAAGCCCCTAACATGGTTTCTCGTCGTCTTCTCCTTATTGGCAGCCTTGTTTCTGTTTGCACTGGACAACACCATTGTGGCCAATGTCCAACCTGCTATCATCGGAACCCTAGGGGAGATTGAGAAACTACCATGGATTTCCGTTGCATTTGCCCTTGGGGCCATCGCCACAGATCTCCCTTGGGGCCAGATCTACGGATACTTCAACAACAAATTCCTCTTCCTCGCCAGCGTAGTGATCTTCGAGGTGGGCTCCGCTGTCTGCGGAGCAGCACCCACGATGAACGCACTGATCGTGGGTCGGGCGATTTGTGGCATCGGCGGCATGGGCATCTATCTGGGCACGGTCAACATGGTTTCGGCATTGACCACGGAAGCCCAACGACCGCTCTACCTGGGGTTTGTCGGGTTGACATGGGGAATTGGGACCATTCTCGGACCCATCATCGGCGGTGCTTTTGCCGACAATTCCTCGGCCACCTGGCGCTGGTCCTTCTACATCAATCTCTGCATCGGAGGGCTAGCAGCCCCAGTGTACTTATGGCTGCTGCCCCAGACCACCTCACCACGTCCAGGACAGTCGCTATTGACGCGCATATGGGCGCTAGATGTAGTTGGGATGGTGCTGAGCGCGGGGGCCATCACCAGTCTCATCATGGCGATCTCGTTCGGAGGCAGCTTGTATGCATGGGGGAGCGGACGGATCATCGGGCTCTTTATCTGCTCGGGCGTACTATGGCTGCTATTCATTGGGCAACAGGCGTGGTCGTTGGGACTACGACCGGAGGCGCAGGGCCAGCGGCTCTTCCCGACGGCGCTCATCCGCTCGTGGGAGATGGACGTGCTCTTCGCACAGATGGCCAGTGCCCAGGTGTTGGTGATGGTGCCTATCTACTTCCTGCCCATTCTGTTCCAGTTCGCGCACAACGACAGCGCGTTGGCTAGCGGGGTGCACCTATTACCATTTGTGCTCGTGCTTGTCGTGGCCGTCATGCTGAACGGCGCCCTCATGGCCCAGCTAGGCTACTACATGCCATGGTACCTGGCGGGTGCCTGTCTCGCCCTTGCTGGTAGCGCCCTCTTCTATACCGTCGGTCCCGACACCAGCAGCGCTCGTCTGTATGGCTACTCGGTGCTCACGGCCTTTGGCGTCGGCTGCTACTCCCAGGCTGGGTTTCCCGTGGCTCAGGTCAAGGTCTCCCCAGCCAAACTCACCCAGGCGGTCGCCTTTATCGGCGTCGGTCAGGTTGGCGGTATTGCCCTCGCCTTGACTATCTCTAACACCATCTTCCTCAACAAGGCCACTAGCCGCATCTCCACCATCCTTCCTCAGCAGTCTCGCTCGACTATCCAGCAGGCGATCTCCGGTGTGCGCGCTGAGTTGTTTAGCTCGTTGAGTGTTGCACAGCGTCAGCGCGTGGTGGCTGCCATTGTGAGCAGTGTCGATGATGTGTTTGTCCTGATGATTGCCGCTGCCGCTCTGTCTGTGGTGCTGGCGTTGGTCATGAAACGGGAACGACTATTCATGATACCGTCGAAAGTAGATGGTGAAGAGGCCGAAGAAGAAGTAATGACTACGAAAGAACAGAGCTCACAGTAGTTTCTAAAAGTTTAGGGGGAGAGAGTAATCTACGTAGTGAACGGGAAAGAATATTGTGATAAAATTGGGGTTAGACTTGGGCCTTGGTGCTTAGCGCTTGGTGTTTGGTGATAGTAGTAATAGTATTCTAATTAAAGGTGAATTGGAGCTGTTCAGTCACTTCCATGGTTCCTATAATTTGATTCTACTAGTATCTTGTTTCAATCTCCTCCTTCCCCCGCTTCCTTCCCGCCGCCCCCACTAGCATCTGTGGAGACGTGGATATTATCACCCATACCCGAATGCTTATTATCTTCTACTCCTCCATACCTCCTAAACAGGAGTAGTGCAGAGTGCCTTCTGGTGCATGACTGCATAGTACCTATCATTATCCGCAGTATACGTAAGTATATGGTGGGTATCATTCCCATGGAGGCAGTGCAAGGCTCTCTCTCGTAAGATCAATACTCCATGCACATACCCCCTTGTCTAGTTCGCTCTTAGTTATCTACTCCTTACAGAGAGATTCCCCTCTTCCTTGGCGATCATCCTTGACTTCATCCCCACTAATTTCTGACGGCAGCCACCCACATTCTTAGGCTCGACCAAACACTAGTCAGCCCATCCTTTCATAACCTAAATTAAGATGCAGTAGTCAACGGGCTAGACAAGGGCCTGTCATCCAATCGTGGAAAATCACGCAGCCACTTGAACCGTCTGAGATGATCCCCCCGCGACATCGGCTAACGTTGCTGTTGACCAGGATACTCGCTTGATTTTCCAGGACAGGGCAACAAAGAGATAGCATTGCTGCCTCGTTTCACTGTTTGAGGTTGATGGAGTACATAATTTGTACCACGGGAGTACCAATCACTACCTTACCCTATCTATAATTCAGCCTTGTCTCAAATGAGTATAATAAGTTAACCCCTCCTCCTCCCCGGGAACTTTCCCCCTCTCCATAGGCACTCATAATTCCAAGCTTTCCCTTCTCTGTCTTTCTTCTCCCTTACACACTCACGCCCTCAATTCTATTTCACCCTCTATCTCTCATTTACTGTCTTTCCTCCCACATCCACAATGGTCATCAGAGGCACTCAATTAGATGGCGTCGCTCTGGTCGTCGGCGTAAGAACCTTCCCCCTCCCCCACCACCTCAAACAAATGCATCCCCCCTCCTAAACTAACCTCCCATCAATCCAGTCTGGTCGCGGCATCGGCCAACAAGCCGCCTTCTCCCTAGCCGAAGCAGGCGCCCGTGTCATCGTCTTCGCCGACATGAACACCGAAACAGCCACTGCCTCCGCCGAAGAGAGCAAGCAATACGCCACGAACCCCGAATACCAATCCACCCACTTCACCGTCAACGTGACCGACCAAGACGGCGTGCAAGCCATGGTTGACTTTGTCGTCGAGAAGTTTGGACGGCTGGACTATGCCGTCAACGCTGCAGGAGTGAGTCCCATCCACCGTCATCATCATCCATTGAGGATATTCCACAACAACCTAGCGCATAGTTCTCTTCCCGCCAAGCTAACCCCCCAATCAAATAGGTCGACAACGGCGTGCACACCCCCTTCGCCGACACCGACATCGACAACTTCGACCGCGTCCAGACCATCAACGCCCGCGGTATGTTCCTCTGCTGCCGCGCCGAAGCCGCCGCCATGCGCAAGCAGACCTCGCGCACCTTTACCAGCCGCACCGGCACCCGGGACATTGGTCGCGGCGCCATCGTGAACGTCTGCTCAGCTAACTCCTTCGCCGGACTGCCCGGGAAGGGATCGTATACCGTCTCTAAGCATGCTTGCATGGCGGTGACGAAGATGGTTGGTATGTTTACCCCCTACGATACTATCCTATCCAATCCAACCCATTCCCCTAATGAATATAAATTAATAATATTTGGTACAGGACTGGACCACTCCGCCGAAGGCATCCGCTGCAACGCCGTATGTCCCATCTGGGTCCGCACCCCTCTTCTTGACGTCGAGTTGGAGCGGAACCCCCAGGTGCGCGCAGAGATTGAGGCCGTTATACCTATTAAGCGTGCGGCGGAGAGTGATGAGGTGGGCGATACGATTGTTTATTTGCTTAGTCCGTCGGCGAGTTATGTTAATGCTACGAGTTTGTTGTTGGATGCGGCGGTTACGGCGACGTTGAGGTTTCATTGATTACTTTATATCATTATATTATTTCTGGCAGGGTAATAGAACTGGGATGATTATGAACATGAGTATCATGGTATACTATGTATTTGAAGAGTCTTTGTGCGGTGAGTAATGGATTGTTGGACGTGGTTTGTTGTACTATGTTTAATGAATGGTTGAACCCCGAATATATAAATTAAGTAGTGCAAGGAATCAAGTACTTACTCTGCCTGTTTAGCCATTGAAAAAGGCTCAAGGGATGTAAGAAGTAACAGTAAGTATTCTATCTGTACATAAACCCCATAATAACCGCTCCTTATTCACATTCTTATTGATATGGTTCAGCTATTTAATGGATTTATGATTTCCCTTGAATATAGTACAGCGGGACAGGACACACACAAAAGATAGAAAAGGCTATAATTTATATCAGTTATCAGTGGCTTATAATACAAAAACACAGCTCCGTTTTCAACAACATCCGATATGGTGTAGTGGCTAACATCGCCGTCTCTCACACGGCAGCCGGGGGTTCGATTCCCCCTATCGGAGCTCAAATTCTCTTTTTAATTTTTTTTTTCTTCCGGTTCTCCACTCTGCCAAAACATGGTCGAGTAGTTAGTTCGTTAACTGGTCCTCTATTACATTGGGACTACCATTTTACTGACAACTGGTTAATGTTAAGCAGTACTATTGTTTCGTTATATCTGGATACACAACCAACGATAGGAAAATATAATGAGGTCAATGCTACACGGAAGTGGCTAGCTGAGCTAGACTAAGATAAGAGACAAGAGGCAAAAAAGGGTACAGGATAGTGCGGGTGGGTGTGTATGATTTCATGATCCAAACAGGGGGAGAGCTGCTTAGAAGTGGATGGCCTTGGAGTAGGTAGCCATGGCAGCCTCCTTGAAGGCCTCAGCCAGGGTAGGGTGAGCGTGGCAAGTGCGAGCAATGTCCTCGCAAGAGGCACCGTACTCGACAGCCAGGGTGGCCTCGGCGATCATCTCACCGGCGTTGGGGCCGATGATGTGGACACCGAGGATGCGGTCGGTCTCAGCATCGGCGATGAACTTGACCTGACCCTCAGTCTCGAGGTTGGTCTTGGCACGGGAGTTGGCGCTGAAGGGGAAAGTACCGACACGGTACTTGATGCCGGCAGCCTTGACTTCCTGCTCGTTCTGGCCAACCCAGGCGACTTCGGGGTGGGTGTACATGACGCTGGGGATGCAGCCGTAGTTGACGTGGCCGTAGCCCTTCTTGATGTACTCGATGGCAGCGACGGCCTCCTCCTCGGCCTTGTGGGCAAGCATGGGTCCGAAAGTGCAGTCACCGATCACGCGGATGTTAGGGATCTTGGTGCGGTACTCCTGGTCGATGACAAGACGGCCGCGCTCGTCCTTCTCAACACCGACGCTCTCGAGGTTGAGACCCTCGGTGTAGGGGCGGCGACCGATGGCGACAAGGACAACGTCAGCGTCGAGAGTCTCCTCCTTACCACCCTTGGCGGCCTCAACGCTCAGAGCGACGGTAGCACCGCTGTCGTCACCCTTGGTAACCTTGGTGCCGGTCTTGAACTTGATACCCTGCTTCTGGAGGATCTTCTGGGCCTGCTTGGCGATGTCGGCGTCCATGCCGGGGCCGCCGATCTGGCCCAGGAACTCGACGACGGTGACCTCAGAGCCGAGGCGGGACCAAACAGAGGCCTGTTGAGGGGCAGAAAAAGAAAACATGAGCATGAATTTTCAAACGGCAAGATCGGAATGTATTCCGCCGGGTGTACGCACCATTTCCAGACCAATGATACCACCACCGATGACGATCATCTTCTTGGGGACCTCCTTGAGGGAGAGGGCACCAGTGCTGGTGATGATCCTCTTCTCGTCAATGTTGAGGCCGGGGAAAGGAGTAGCCTCAGAACCAGTGGCAATGAGGATGTTCTTTCCGCGCAGGGTCTGCTCACCACCGTCAAGGAGGTTAACCTTGACGGTGTTCTGGTCAACGAGAGCACCGGTACCCTTGACGTAGTCGACACCGTTCTTCTTGAACAAGAACTCGATACCCTTAGTCAGACCCTCAACGGAAGTGTCCTTGGCCTTCATCATCTGCTCAAGGTTCAGCTTCACATCACCGACCTCGATACCGCGCTTTTTCGTGTCGTGGAGAATCTGGTGGTAGAGGTGGGAGTTGTTGAGCAGGGATTTCGAGGGGATACAGCCGACGTTCAGGCAGGTACCGCCCAGACGGCCACGCTTCTCGATACATGCGGTCTGTGAAAATGTAGTTGTTAGGGAGATCATCCAGCCGGAACACCTTCGAGGGACGATAGATAGCGCACCTTCAGACCTTCCTGACCGGCCTTGATGGCGGCAACGTAACCAGCGACACCACCACCGATGATGACAAGATCGTGTTCGCCTGTGTTAATTCCAGCCGACGGTTAGCCGGAGGCCACTTTTTTCGGAAGCGCAGGCACCATCTGCGACGGGCCTATCGCAAAGGGCAAAAGTCACGTACCTGACTCAGAGGCATAGCCACGTTGTGTGCGTCCAAAGGAGGCGAGAGAAGGAGCAGCGACGAAGGTAGAGGGAACGGCCTTGGGACCGGCACAGCGGAGGGCAACCCGCGGAGTCGCCCGCGGCAAAAGACTCCGGAACATGGTGAAAAGGAGGCGAAAGGGTAAAGGAAAAAGTCAAAGGATATAGGAAGAACAGCAGACTACCAGGCCTCCCAGTGAACAAGCAACGAAGGGGAGGGGAGGGGACAATTGGAGGTGGGAGGAGACGGGCTCAAGTGGTTAGAGGATGATAGGGAAAAACGATGTTGGGACAAGAAGCTTTCTGGAGGTTCGCCAGCAAAAGCTGGCGGCCCGGTATCGATACTGTATGCCTCGCGTATGTAATCATCCGCCTCCGTGAGCGTCGGGTCAATTCGGCTAACCTTTGCCATGTTGCCGATGTTGTGCTGAACCGTAATTCCGCTACTGTGTCTGGCTCTTCAATCCCCAGAAGTTTCTCCTGCTTCTGATATCTGGGGTAGATTCCTCTTCGCTTGACATCAAGCGTGCGAGGCCGTGCCGGGGCTACACATGGCGGAATACCGGTCAGTGTTACGGCCCAAAATACCTCATAGATTCGCCCAAAAGGGTAAGGAACCAGACTCTCTCCCGCTTCGGAGTCAGCAGAAGGGAATCAACTTGCAGTCTCGAACATTGCAGAGTTCACGCTCCAGATAACAATCAATTCTTGCATCATGAACTGCTCTCCGGTGCCTCTGAAAATGAAAATTACCGATACTCGTCAGTCTCCGCGGGTAACTGGCTAAGCCCCTGGCTCCGTAAAGGCTATCGTCGGCATAGCTCGAGCCAGTGCACGGCACTTAAAGGTAATCCAGGTCTTGGGCTGAAGACCATTGGACTGAAAGACTGAAACGCGGATTGAATGGATCGCTCGGAACCCATCCAGTCTGGCTCGAAGTGCTCGCGCTCTTTATTGGATAATATGGATGTGCTTGGACTAATATGACGTGACCTGCGTTAGCAGAGCGCACCTTGCGGAGCATCGACGTCCGTAGCTTCAAATCTGATATGGGGAGTTAGTAAGTCAGCTTAACTTGGTGCTGGTGGTCGACATGTCCACCATAAGACTGCACAGTGTCGGCTCAACTGGCGTGCTTCCTGTAGTGGCTACAGGCTTGGCAGTTGGGGAGAAGATTTAGTTGATAACAGCGGTGCTTCGTCTGAAGAACATTGCTTCTAGGCTACGACTAAGCGCTTCATGTTGACTGTGAATGTGTTGTTTTGGTCGTTTGTAGGATCATGGCTTTCCTCGGTGACCACTCATGCTCTCATGCAGATCCGGAATTATATTGTTTCGCCCAAAATTGTTCTGTCCGGAACGGAAACCGTTGAGAAACGGCACAGCTCAATCACATTGGCGAGATATCTTCTGCAATAACAGCTCACGTTTTGAAATGGCAGTGCTAACTGCACAGAAGCAGAATGCAGTGAGACACTATACACCGCGACAGGAAAATCAATTAAACATAGAACTGTCTATCCAAGGTGGATGATGGGCCCCAACAAGGTTTAGCGGCTCGGAAGCTGCTGGCGCCCACTCCGTCTATACTGGAGTGCACTTCTACAACCCGTTGCTTCAAGCTTGGCCCTGAGTTTGGTGTATCTGTGGTCTGGTATCAATGAATATTGCCCTGCTACTCCCTGATCTTATTGGGCGACAAATATGCAATAATTGATGCCAAGCGGTGATAAAGTGCCCCTGGACTACCACTATGGCTGGAAAGTCATAGCAGAGACGGGTTCACCGAATCCCGACAAGTTCTGGTAAGAGCTCTATCTTGATATCTTGCGACGTTTTATTTAGATTTTGCAAACCCCCGTCATTGTTGTGATAGGGGTATTCGAATGCCATATCCCAAACCGCTCCGTTGGTATATACCGACAGCTGAGAACAATCGGGAACCTTTAGATTCTTGAAGATACAGCCGACAAAAGCCAGAAAGACAAAGTTATACTTATGCTTGCCTATGCGAAGGGCAAAAGCGCGGAAGGTCCCTAGCACTATGCCGAGATGAAGTAGTCTCCTAACATCAGACAAGGGCCGTGCATATGATACTCACGCCATGCTGCACGAGCAGCTGCAGCAGCAGCAGCAGCAGCAGCAGCAGCACAGGATCAACAAAGCAAGACTGACAAGGCTACTTACAAAGCTACTTAATCACACTCTAATGTTAACTTTCGGAGGAGCCTCATCTCACCGGGTTTTTGGGATCATCGATGCGCCAGTAGGAAATCTCAGACAGGCCCCACAGCTCCCTGGCAACCGAGATATATCTGCCTTGAACAAGGGTCAAGCTACTTCTAAATACTGTTCCATGTCCTCATTCCATGGTTAGCTTTCCAAATTCGCAACAGTCTCACGGGAATAGAGAGCTCGACGTAGGTGATTGTGTGCGTTGATGAGGCTAATATCCCAAGAAACTTAAATCTTGCGAGAGAAGACCCTGATCGTTTACGAACAATAATGAGAACTTATTATAGCAATAAGAAAATAGTAGTCACCTGCTTAGAATTCTGTCAACACTCAGCAAAATAGCTGGCAGGCTAAAGTGGCACGGGATGTCCCAAAGAGGCGAGTCGGAGTTGGTCCGCCGCGATGTTCTCCGGATTTCCTCAATCTGGCTGAAATCCCCACCCGCTTGGACCAAAATCCCCGGGAAACATCCACACCCCAGACCATCCACTCCATCCACTCCTCCTGATGGCCCAATCCGCTATCCCAACTACTCTGTACCACCCGCTCCAGCTTATCGTTGGCTTCCCGGGCCCCGCCGATACCGCTGCTTTCTTCGAATCTCCAAGTCCGTACATGGAGTGCGTTCCCCAGACGCCAACCCCGGATGATGCAATGCTAGCAGCCGAGTTTCGCTTGATTACCACCTTGTTTCCCTACACGACACCTACAGCACATAGTATCATGCCGTCTCAGTTTCCACCTCGGGCATTGGTCCATAATCCTTCGGTCTGCAGCTCGGCAGCATAGGCGCTGGCCGAATGACCGATTTGGACTCGTCCGCGTCCCGGTCTGGGGTCGGGTTCCCACCAATTCTCTCCAGACTTTCTCGTGCGGGTCCTGTATTCCAATGGCGTCCTTGCTTTGGAGTGGAACCGAGTATCTGATGGCTGCTTGATGCCCTCCCACCCGGAATGTAACCATATTCGACTCATCGGGCTGGCACCGGTCCTGTGCCGTGGGATTACTCCTCAAAATGGATGATCTTCAGGTGCAAATGGCACCACCGAGCTTATAGTCCTTTCTATTTAATCGTCGCATCGCCCCGCTGTCTCTGTAACCCTGCTTCCTGGTTCCACGTCTATCTGTGCTGGAGGTGGCTGATCTCTCCCCAAAGTCACGCGGTCCGTGCCTGAAGCCACTCAAGTGAAAAGAAAAAGGTATTTTCCAGTATACACCCAAACAGTCACTACAACCGCGGATTCTAGAGTAGTCACCATGAGTGACCTAATACCATCATGGAATATCGTCCATAAATTGGAGAAGCGTAATCTTCTCATCGCTATCAATTGCGTCGCGGCCTTGTCGATCCTGTTCTTCGGGTATGACCAGGGAATGATGTCGGGTGTGAACAACTCCAAAGACTACATCGACCTTATGGGATTCGGATATACCAAGGAAGTGAATGGAGAGCTTACCCCTGTCGTTACAGACAGTCTTTTACAAGGTGGAATTGTGTCTGTCTACTACCTGGGGACTTTGTGTGGTGCACTAATCGGTGGCTGGATCGGTGACAAGATTGGCAGAATCAGGACTATCGCTTCGGGTGCGGTCTGGGCGATTTTAGGGGCGTCATTGCAATGCGCAGCACAGAACCACAATTGGATGATTTGCTGTAAGAGACCCATAGAGCCTATTTGCACTTAAGACTGACGTATGAAATACAGCCCGTTTTATCAATGGTATCGGCACGGGAATCCTGAATGCTATTGTGCCCGTCTGGGCTACAGAGACAGCCGAACATACCTCTCGTGGACAGTTTATTGCGATCGAATTTACTCTCAACATCTTCGGTGTCGTAGTGGCTTACTGGCTTGAATTGTAAGTATACCTTACTACTCCCGAGACTTGTCTAATTCGTATAGTGGCTTGTCCTTTATCGATGGCGGCAAATCAGCGTTCCGCTGGCGCTTCCCCATCGCGTTTCAAATTATCTTCTTGCTTCTCTTATTTTTCTCGGTATGGTTCTTTCCTGAATCACCACGTTGGCTGGTCAAAGTTGGTCGCGAGCAAGAAGCGCGTTACATCCTTGGCCGTCTTCGAGGAAGTACCGGCGACGATGCTGTCCGCGCTGAAGCCGAATTCCGGGATATCCAGAACGTTGCAGAAATGGAACGATCAATGAACCACAGCACTTCATACCTAGCAATGCTTTTTGGACACAAGACAGGCAAACTGCATCTTGGACGACGTGTGCAGCTGGTTGTTTGGCTGCAGATCATGCAGGAATGGGTTGGTATCGCAGGTGTCACTGTTTGTATGTCAACCACAATATGATAGATACCGGACTAGACTAACTTGAACAGATGCGCCCACCATCTTCAGCATTGCCGGCTTTGACTCAATGAAGAGTCAATGGCTTAGTGGTCTGAATAACGTCTTCTACATGGTGAGTACTATGCCTTCCCTTATGGGACGTGGTTAACAACTCAGTTCGCAACGCTCGTATGTGTCTTCACGCTCGATCGTATCGGTCGTAGATGGACCCTATACTGGGGAGCCGTCAGTCAAGGAATCGCCATGTTCCTAGCAGGAGGATTCTCCCGCCTAGCCATCAATGCTCGGGACTCGGGAGATGCTGCTCGCGCCAGTTCATTCGGAGCAGCCGCAGCCGCAATGATTTTCATTTTTACTGCTGCTTTCGGAGCCACTTGGCTGACAGGTATATACCTAACTTCTTCCTCAAGAGCTACCCGCTAATCACACACTTATAGTACCCTGGGTCTATCCCGCCGAGATCTATCCCCTCGCAGTACGAGCCCGCGGAAACGCCTGGGGCGTAGTTGGGTGGAGTATCGGAAACGGATGGCTGGTAAGTTCATCCTCCTGAAATGCGAAGCAAAGCTAACAAAGCTAACTAGACTCTTCTATGCCCCGTGATGTTTGGCGCTATTGGCGAGAAAACGCTATATGTTTTTGCGGCTAGTAACGTCATCGCGATCCCGATGGTGTGGGCATTCTACCCAGAGAGCAATCAACGTACCTTGGAGGACATGGATCTGCTTTTCGCGTCGGAGAGCCCGTGGGTATGGGATGCAGAGAAGACGTTCAAACAGCTGAAGGCAGAGAATCCGGGATATGTGGAGGCGACGGCGCGAAAGGGTAGCGTGGTGTTGGAGCATGTGGATGTATGAGCACACCTTAATGACTGCATGTAAAACTTATTAGATACCTACTATCGAGCAGAATTCCTGCTGCAATCGAACAACTTTCAATGCTTGTACTATTCACTAGTCCTTTGGACTACTACATACTGCCTATTGACCGAGTTCGCTACGTATTCTCTGAATGTGTAACATCTTGGCAGCTTTATCCGGTCACAAAGCTCCCCGTATGAACCATGCCGTGCTCAACACTCTCAATTCTGTTACAACCCAGACTCAAGCTCCCGAACCTAGTGAAGATACATCACCCTCTCTTGCTCATCATAGCGAAACCATTCTCCTTCAGGTGGCACCTCGGCAGCGAAAGGGGTCTTTCCAAGATCGAGTTCGAAGAAGACAATAGACCCACCCTCCCAAGGCTTGGGATAAATCCAAATTGCTTCGTTTTGCACACTCATGTGATAGTTCCGGAAGGCAGGAGGGATCCAAAGCAATTTTTGCCCTCTTTGGAAGATCCACTCTTCTCCAATCCACAAACTGGATGGACAATACATTTCAGTCGTTGGGGAACGATTATCGACCGGGATGAGAACTTGCCCTCGATTGAGATTGAGATACTGACCATCGCTTGAGAATGACAATCCGTTGAGAATCAAGCCGTTATGGAACATTGAAGTGTCAAATGTGCAAATTCGTTCTCCAGTGTTGCAATTTATGATGAGAATAATGAGCTTCTCGACTTGTGAACTTGGTGCTATAGCAATTAAATTTGACCAGGCTGCCATTGGACCGTGAGGAAAATAATCTCCTGCCGCACATGGTATGTTCTCAATCAGTCCTGTTGCTAGATTGTACGTAACCAGAACAAGAGCATAGTGGAACAACTTATGCGAGGCAGTGTCAGAACGCTGCAGCCTCTGCATAGTAACGATATAATTACCATCTGCAGAATAGATCATCGACCCAGACCACTTTAGATCCTTCGAAAGACGGAAATTATCTTTCACTTGCTGAGAAGGATGCCCACTTATTTGCCAAACCTCAAGGAAACAGCAGCGTGGATCCCAACGGTGACCTTGAGCCAACAGGGCAACTGCATCAGACTTCGGTGAGAAGGCTATGACCGGCGTTACCGGGAGTTCTGTACGCAGGATGACCCTCTTTTTGTTTTTCAGGTCCCATATCTCAACGCCGCGGCAGATGATCATACCGATAAATTGACTGTTTGGTGAGAACTGAAGACCATGGATTTCCCCTGGTAGAAGAATAGATAATTCTTCTGACATTCCTGCGTCCAATATCCATACGTGGTTCGCGTGTGAAATAGCAAACTGCTCACCGCTAGGGGATGATACAATATTGGTCTTCTCAATGGGAAACTCTGGAAACTGCGATTCCAAGTCCATACCAACATATAGGCACTTTGGGTTACCCAACTCAACGTCAGTGTCAGTGCGATCAATTTCCCCTGCAAAAGGAACTCGATAGAGTTGAAGTCTCCGGTGTAATATCGACAACGACCAGTGTCTCGTTTTCGCAAAGTTGTGGTGTTATCTCGAGTGTTCGCGATAACGTCAATTCCAAAGGGGAAAGTCATTCTCACTTCAGGGACAATCTCAGTGTGGGGGCGATCAACTGCAATGTCCCATAGACGAACTACACCATTGTCTGAGACTGATGCCAACAGTGATCCATTGTGGGAAAGCGCAATTCTGCCAGCTTTCCTATAGTCACATGAAAAAGATAGGATCTGGGTGTGAGTAACTGAATTCCAGACGCGAACAGTATTGTCTTGCGCGGAAGTTGCGAAGAAGCGGCCGTCGGAAGATAACGCCGTTGCAAAACACCCGAGGATTGTGGGCTGTTTAAGTTCGCCACAAGCAATCATCTTGGGACTCAGTCGTCCTGTTCTGGCATCCCATATTTCCACCGTATGCCGATTTGATATGAGAACTCGGTGCCCATTCCTCGAAACGGATAAGTTAGTTATCGAGCCTCCAGGCGCCTCACCCTCTACAATACACTCAAGTTCTGTGCCCGCTTCACTAAGCAAGTAGATCTCCCAAGTACGTCTATAAAAACCTGAATAGAGCACCACAGCCTCATCATTGAACAAGAATCCAACCACACATGTGTCGAGGCTATCGTAATTATCCCGAAATTGAGTAAAAGGTGCATAAATCTGTTGGCAATGGCCATAGTTCCACACTTCAACAGAATGATCTGCCCTGGAAAATATGAGAGAGTCGCTAACTGGAGAGACTGCAATACGACGGATTTTGTCTTTACCCACTTCACCCAAAAAGTACTCTTCATCGGTCTCAAGATTCCACAGACTGACTCTTCCGTCCTCAGTCCCATGCGCTATTAGACTTCCATCTCGGGAGAATTCAACACCAAAGTTTCCCCCTACTTTTGTTTGATACTTCACCTTCCCTGTTTGAGCGTTCCACAGCTTGAGATAATATTTTCCATCCCGATTAAGAAATGAAGAAGCACCTGTCTTTCCATCTGGGGAAAATACAATATTGCCAGTGTTTCTCATTTCGGTTTCAATGGCAAAGAGCTCCCGAGACCAGTCATCGTCCATAACAGGTTGCTGTTTTATCCATGATGGTATGAGATGTGAATAAATCTCTTTGATGGGACTTTTAATTGGACAGAATACCAGGGCAGATGAATAGACCTGCAAAGGCGCTTGCTCAATGATGTGCCTATTGTGAAGTAGGAACCTTCTCGCATCTCTGACAAGCGGGAAGTGATGAGAGTCCTGTTATGGGATGTCAGTAAATACGTGTATACAGTTAGGGACTACGTGGATTGATATACTCTAGCAAGGTCCTGGAGAGCACTGAGTTGGAAAACACCAACTTCAAGCTCACCCATGAGGCTCAAGGCTTCGAACCAGAAGAGAAGCTTTTTTCGAAGAAAGCATTCAATAACGCCCCCATTATCATTTAGCAACTTGCTTTGCTCATCACTGCCCAGCTGCATTAGATGATTAATCCAATAGCGACATGCGTAACTCAATGCAGCTGGTAGGAAAGTTTCCAGTCTTTCCGAGGGAACATCTGATGGCGATGATCCAGGAAGCACGAAGTCACAAAGATTTTGCTTGAGGCTCTTCATTGTTTCCATACATCTTTCAAACAAGATCAAATGCAGCTGTTGAGAATTGATGTAAAGCTCTGGGGTGCTTTTGCAGCGCTCACGGCTCAACAAAAGGTCACGCAAAGAAAGATGAACTGGACGGATTGGATCATTTGCTGCCCGAACATCTAAAAGAGATCTGAGAGGCTCAACGCATCTTTGGATACGCTTATCCTTCGAGGATGAAGAGAACAAAAGTGCTTCTAAAGTGGAAGCTGAGGCTGGCTTGAATATTACCATGATTGTCCCAACAATCAGTCGGAAGTCTTCGATCATCACTTCCCGCTCCTTTTTGGTTCTCGCATTCAGAGACAGCTTTATGACCCTGATATAAATGTTGTCCAACTTCGCCTGTGGGGTTTCGGCTTCGCTATCGTCTTTAAGAATTTGATCCAGTCGAGAAGAATAATGGTATGGATCTTCCAAAAACCGACAACACGTCGAAGCATATACAAAAAGTCCATCTGACTTCTCCTTCAGCTTTTCGATGTTCTCTTGGCCTGGCCAGCCCTCTGGTATCGCGGATTTGTAATTTTCCCAAATTCTTTTTAAGTCTGCTTCAAGAAAGCGAGTGATGTCATCACTCTTAGGTGAGATTTTATGAAGTGGCTGAGAATGGTACAGTCTGGGTGGCAGGCTCTCAAAAGCAAATCGAATGTGGGCTTCTGGGCGACTGGTGATTAGAAATCGAACCGATGGCAAATCTCTTAGGGAGGCCAACAGTTTCAACACAGTGGCAACTTTGTCTTGGTCCCCACACTCATCAAGGCTATCAACAATCATAATGAAGCGCCAGTGAGCTTGTGAAGAACTGGTAAGCTTATGCAGTGGCCCAGAAATGAGACTAGCCCATTGTACCCGAAGTCCTTTCTCTTCGATGCGCGCATCTTGATCAATGGCATCAACAATGTACTGCCTAATGTCCGGCAAGGACTCTGCCAAGCACTGGGTCAGGGTTGGGAAAAGGTACTGGCTGTTGTTGCGTTCCGGCTCAAATTGATTGAAAAAGATGCTTCCCCCCAGTCTGATATTGATATCAACAGGGCTACCATCTGGCCTCTGTCTGTCCTGAAGCGCCCATGCAATAGTCCGAGCAATTGTTGACTTGCCCGTTCCAGCCATCCCATGAAGCCAGAGCACTGGATTTCCATCGCCCTTGCACCAGTTCTGAAGCATGTCCAACGTCTCCACTTGGGTGTCTTTGAGACACCTTGGCTCTTCAGCGTTTTTGAATGAATCAAATGGGGCCATGGTAGAGTACTTAAATGCCCTCAATATTCGATCTCTCTGCTCTGACATCAGACGAGTCTGGTTTCTCAACTCCTTCTTGAGGTCCTCGACCATTTTCGAAAAATTATCGACTTTGCTCCCAATCTCAAAGATCATACCGTTTGTGACAGATTCCAGGTCGCGATCGAGACTATCCCTCGTTGTCTGTAGCTTATTCAGGCTTGTACTCCAGTTTTCGTCTCCGAGACTGTCCTTCAGGTTTTCGAAATATCTAGCGGCTCTATGGTGTTGGAAATGCTTTATGAGGCGGAGCTGGTAGACATATATCTGGGAATACATATCGACGAATTTGTCTTGGATGAGCAAAAGAAGATTCACCTTGTCAACCGAGGTCCTAAAATTTGAGTTATTTTTTAGCAATTGGACTGTCTCTTATGGACATATATCATCACTCGAGTGCTTACGCTGAGGTCATGGCGGCTCTGTAGTACTTGTCTTCCTCCACATAGCGATAGCGCACTAGCAGAGCAGAAATGGCATCCAATCCACTCATGGCATCCGAGTCCTGCTTTAAGATGTTTGCAAGCACCTGGAGGGTTTCAGAAACAGCAAGGCACTTTGGGATCAATTAACTCACTGGGAGAGCCACCATAACGCCGGCCCAGGCCAACGCAGCATGGGGATCAGCTGAAATGGCGGATGAGACCACATCTTTAACAGAGAGCACAACCCCGACAACCTTTCTCGCCAATTCTCCAACAATGACGTCTTTCCCATTGAATGACAAGCGAAATTGCTCCGACTGCCACACTTCAAGTTGTTCCTGAGCAAGTGCTTGCACCTCTTGAATTCGGTCCAGGGCCTTATCTCCTGTATGACCACCACTTTCAAGTAAAGCCCGAGTGTACGCATTGATTAAACCCGGATGGCTTTCTTGAATAGCGTTGTAGGCTTCTTCCCATGGTTGCCGGGTCTGAAGCTTCTTCAATGCTTCATCAAAAGGGTTTTTAACGGGAGGAGAGGCATCAAAGGATTTATCATCGCGATAGAAATTTGTCGCAAGGCTGCGGTCAGCATCGTCCGTCTTATCTTTGCTGCCAGCGTCCACTACTCCTGCGCCCCGTCTATGTAAATATGCTTTGTTTATGACTTTCTTATAGAGTTTCCTCATCCTGGTGCGATTGGAAAAGGCAGACTTAGACGAATACTTGATAGTCTAGTTTCTGACACTCCGTACAGGAGGAGTCTTATCAGCCGGAAACATTAACCATTTTAACGAGGATGACGAGTACATGTGTGCATATGCGTAAATACCCAATAGCCCCAAAAACGGGCATAAGTTACAGGGGTTATTTGTTAGAGCGATAGTACTAGTGGCCAATGTCATGTGTTGGAATCCCACTAGCACCAACCACCTCTTTTACTACGTTTTCTGTAAGCGCTTAGATGGCAACGATTCAAGCATACTTCTCTCTGTCTACCTATTTCATGATATATTAAGTCTGGCCAAGGTTCCGAGAAATTTTGGAGTTCATTGGTGGCGAAGATAAGTGCCTTAGTTATTAGGACCTTCCATATTGCTTTTTTTGGCTCTGGAAACAGTAAGTGACAGCTCATCTATCAATATAAGTAACCTACGGAGTACACAATCCGTACTTGTGTAATAACTCAACCACTGAACATAATCAGGGTTAGTCGTGAACATGTGACTGCAAGAGATTAATAATACATAGAAAGGTGATTGCAGATAAATCTCGGGAAATTGGAAAAATTCTGGTCAGGCAGAGTAGGCTATTATGACAAGCAACTTTGGACAAAGCATAAATCAGGTAGCATATTATAACTGGCATAGGATATAGTATATATTCTAAAAATATTTATATTGTCACAAGAAGACTGGGGTTATAGCTCAGTGGTAGAGCGCTCGCTTTGCATCCTCGCAAGTATGCGAGAGGTCAAGGGTTCGATCCCCTTTGACTCCAATCTTTTTTAGAAAATTTCTTTATCTTCTTTTTACCCTTTCCGGCTGGATAAATGATGGCTTGCTAGCAAAGAAAATTTGGCCCTTTGTTAGGCAACTTTTTTTTTTTTCCCTTTATTAATTAGAGGTATAGCCTTCACAGGTAATATGTAAAGCAATTGCAGACCCGGGATCCCCCTGAAGTCGAACTGAACATGTCCAAGCCTCATTTATACTGTCAACCAGACTTATGGATCTGCTGACTTTACCTCTGCATGTTTCTAGCTCAGCAGAAGGAACAATATACCGAGCTATTAACCGAATGATTGCAGTTTTGGTTTTCGGAACTATCTCTTGTAGATATGGGACCAGGCATCACTGTCCAATAGTGTGTCTTTGGGAGTCTCACATTCTCTTTCGAATTATCCCTGACACATCTTCATGTCATCTTTGGTAATCCCGTTTCTGTCGTCATTTAGATAGCTGCCCTTGCACCTAAGGTAGAACACGAAATTTCTCACCGACATAGGCTCCAATACGATTCTCGTTGCTCTTTTCATTCTCGTCCTTATTTTCGTCTTCATATTCTTCTGTAGGCTCCGAGCTTTCTGGTGGCGAAATCAGAACATACCCAAGGACACTGTTGAAGAGCTTTTTGGGCCACTGATTATTCTGTATCCAGTAGTGTATGGAAGAGCCTTTGACAGTCTGTATAAATGCTTGACCCCACTAGAGTAGTGTCAGCCCTATTACGCTTCTTCATTATATGAACAGTAACAAATGACATACCTCCTGGTCAATGTTTACAGGATCCAGAACAGCAGAATTCCGCTGTCTACAAGGCCTTTTGGGCTGTCTATCTGAATGCTGTGGTGCCGGCGCTTTTCGCTTTTTATGCATGCTGGCTGGTGGTTTGGTTTGTGACTATGATACCCACAACGTCAGTGTCTGATAGTAGTACAGCAAGTTGCTCGCATCATACATACTTCTGTACATTTGTTTGATGGCGAAGAAGATTTTTGCTTCTCTATGTTGGTTGATTTCTTCTGTGCGTTTTCACGAATGCGATCGCTTCTTCGACAGCTTTGTTGTTGGGGCTGTTTTATGCGAGGCATTTTAACTGTAGAGAGGAAAATAACTGAATCAAAGTGAGTGTATCAAGACGAGCTTCTGTGCAGGACTAATCAAGTAAGGAACGATGAGTATCATCTGATGGCGACATGGTCGAGAATCAAATGTGGAAGTATATAGTATTGTCCAGAAATCGGTGAAAGACAGAAATACAACAGAGGTACAAAGCTTTTGGGACTTTTGCAGGTTGTTTGTCCTCGACCTGGGATCTTCCGGACCATTGCTTCCAACGATGATTTCGGTTCTTTCAAAGATCAAAGGTAGATGGTTTATGGAATTAAAAGTAAGGAGATGGAGTGCGGGATCATCACATCTTGATAAAGGTGGCGTAGCCTGATAAATATGGTTTAATGAAAAGCCAGATATAAACTCAAGCATACTCAAGATAGGCAATGAAAACAGCCGATAAGAAACTGATTAAAACTGTCATCTCGAGATCATTACGGGCAAAGCCCGGCATTGCTTAGGTGTCGCCTTATGCTCATAAAGTTGCTTGGAGAAGTCTACTTGCACAGAACTGAAGAACGGCACACCCCGGAGATGAGCAAAGAACACCCCGAAAATTCACGAATAACATAGTATTGTCAAGCTATACTCTCTATCACTCATCATTAAATAAGGCCGTGCTTCACCCCTACAATTGGTTCTATCAGCCCACTTCCCAATCACCCTAAGCCTCACCCTTTATACTCACTTCTTTGTTCAGCTGCTCCATATTAACAGGATATCTCCACAATGCCTTCCTCATCCGAGCTCGCCCTCATCAGGAAGTGCCCTCCTACACCCTACAAGGACCTGCAAGCCCTAATCAAGGCCATTGCAGATCTACACAAAAATCTGGAAACAGAAGACGTCAGCCAATACTTATCTTTCAAAGATGTTTCTCTGAAAGACTTTCGATTAATTGAAAGTCATCGAAAGAAACTTGGCAGCGCAGTCCGTTTCACCTACTACCCTGAAATCAGCACCCTCGTACTCAAGGTGGTTACCAACACCACTTTGGCTGTGCATGATAATCTCTACTACAATATATCGAGCAAGCTCGCTAACATGGACATCGATATCGATCAATTCGTGTCCCTCGGAGCCTCAGAATTCGAAGGACCATGGGGCTCGATCAAAGAAGGAGACGGTGCCTTCAAAAACCCTGCTGTTCGATCTGATAAGCGGCACTGGCCTTCCTTCGTGATTGAGTCTGCAGTGTCTGATGTTTCCATGCCACGTCTGCGGCAGGATGCTGCGTGGTGGATTGCAAACTCCGTTGGGGAGGTTAAGGTTGTCTTGACCATCAATGTGTTGATGGAAACCAAGTGTATCGTGCTTGAGAAATACGGCCCCGAAGATCAAAAGTCTCATAACACTAGGTCTCAGTCCAAGGGAGGCCCTAATGATTACCGGCCTGTGCTAAAATCCAGGACTACAGTGAATTATAGAGCTGGATCACCCCATGTGGAGGGTGATTCAATCAAGCTAAAGTTCAAGGATCTTATGGGAAGACCCAAAGGGTCGTCTGAAGAGGATGTTGAGGTCGGTCATGCTGAGCTGTTGGAGCTTGCTAAATCAGTTTTTGGGAATTGAAGTGCTGCAATATGCCCAATATTAGTCATTGGATGGCATTAGCCAGATGTTTGAGAGTTCAGGATAGCTGATACTATATAGTATTCAAATAAATCGTGTGACGCAGCCCATATTCAGTTAATTTTCAAATTCTTTGAGACATTCAGTGTAGCCAGGCATCGCCTGATTCTCTGCCACATCTGCCTATGCGGTCTTGACTGCTACCTCCTACCACCGTCAACCGCTACCTTGGGACCTGACTAGATAAACAGGCCCGCCCCTGCACTTTATCTTGAGATCCTCTTATGGAAGCAGGAGCATGCTAAAAGATTGTATTCAGGGGTCCGGCATTCATCTCCCGCAGCCACATCTTGTAGAGGAATTGGGCTAGCCGAAGATAGATCTGCTTTGTGATTGACCAAGTGGGGTGATGCATGGCTTATTAAAGCATATGGGCCAAGATAAATATGTACTTTGCGGCTGGATTGCAAATGATAATGGCTAATAATTAAGGGCAGTCTGTGTCAATAGACAGGCTGTGAATGCATACATAGTCCAAAATGTGAATAAGAAACCAGCTTCGCCGGATTGAGAACATTACTACAAAAGAGTACCTGTTTTCTTGCTCTTTGATTGACTGAGTTAGTATTGTATATCTCTATTGTGCTGAATATCATGCCATTCTTTTGCAATCTGATCCGGGCAGCCATTACTATTTCCAAAACCATACCGTAACATATTAATAAGATAATGAGAAATGTTGACCAATTTGATAACACAAACTTAGGAAATCCGGAATAAGGACTATATGAAGAAGGAACATATAAGCGATAATGGCCAAGGTGTTGTGGGTGGCTATGAGAAACTCAGCCTTTCACTACTATCCTTCCTTCAACCTCTTTGGAGTTCTGGAGGCCCTTCGTTCAATGACTCGCTGATGTTGATTACCACGCTTCCTTTTGGTATCTGTGACCAGTTCCTCGTCCTCTGGAAATAAACTTTTGCCCCCCGAGGATTCTTCGTCCGTTGAGCTCTCGGGTTGAATCAGCAACTGGCGAGGTGCAACGTCCGTAGGTATATCCGGTAAACGGTCAATTGCAGAACAAAGTAATGCAAAAAATGTTGGAACCCAGTCATGATAGATGGCCATTGAGAATTTGTAAGACCTCCATCTATGCTTGTCTGATATACTCCATTTCCCAATACGGACACGATAATATGAAGTCGGCTCTGCAGTTTCGACCACGGGAAAATGAGCGAATACTTGCACCTGCTCCTGATCATGACAAAAAGAAAAGCCAAGAATTCTCCGGTGTAATTCATTCTCACACCCTAATGATTTGAAGAGCTCAACGACACCTCTGAGACATCGAGTCAAAGTGTGAGCATTTTGCCGTTCTGCAATTAGGAGACTTCCTGTAGTGGACTTTACTGACTTTACTTCGCAAGCTAAAAACGGAAAAAGCATATCTTCTATGCCCTTGCAAATAGAAGTCTCGTTAGGCCCACCGAGTAATGGCTTAAGCTTGCGAATCTGCTTGCAGGTAAATGCATGACTTGCAAATCCCACAGCATAGTCTGGCCGCGGTGTCGGTAGAGATGACATTGATTCCTTTGCCCCTGCATTTCGTCGTGTGCTCGGATCCTCATCAAGGGAAGTCGACCAACTCCAAGGCTGATTCATACTCTCAATCAACATCGGAGTAGAGCGCAGTCGACCCCTATGAATCTCGAGTACTGGTGAGGGAACAATCAATTGACTGATCATTCGAGTGACCCCAGTCTCATTTGCGTCTGATAAGCAGTTCAGGACATAGTCACGAGCATCGTCCTCGAATGCCGTGCCACTGGGAGTTTCACATTCATCTCTTCTAATAAGATCTTGACATATTCTTTTATCATTCTCTGCAACCCCAACATATTCTCTCATGTAGCTGCCTTTAGACCTAAGGTATGTTTCACAGGCATTTGTAGCATAGGGGTTAGACCTGGCCGCTGTTGTTGGCTCGAGGGTTTGTGTCACTTGCGGAATGGTTGGAGGCCTAGAAGCAAGGTGGGTATTCAAAAGTTGGGTGTTAGGGGTAGATTGAGGCATTTCTTTTGGCCAAATTCCGTTGTTGATCCAGTAATATACAGCAGCATCCCCTTCAAATTGTGGACTTCCTAGAGGCAACTAATATGATATTAATTTTGATCCTGTCTCCATTGTGCAAGAGTTACGCAGACCCACCTCCTGATCAGTATTACTATCCGGAACTGCTGGGTTCTGCTCTTGACGCCGCTTCTTGGGCTGCGGTTCTGGGCTCAAGGACGATGGTTCTGGTGATTGTGCCTTCCGCTTATTCTGTGTCTTGGTCGAGGGACGTATCTATAACAAACATAGGGTCAGTATCTTAAGGCATTCCAAATGCGCAAGTGCTCACACCATACCCTTTTATGCTGGTCTTTTTCCTGCTTAGGTTGCTTCCTTGTACTGGCTACACCCTGTGCTTCCTTTCGACAGCCACGTTTGGCTGCGTTGGCGGTCTTTCGTGGTGCCGTCCTCTTCGATGCTCGTCTTGGTGTATTAACTTGAGGCTTTTGTGTCCGCTTCGAAGGGTTTCGTTTCCCTGTGTTGTCTTGTTTCTTCCCTACGCCCGTCTGGACAAGAGCACTTTGCTGACGGCCTTTCTTTTTGGAAATTGAAGCTGGCGTCTTCTCTGTGTTGACTTCGCTTTTCAGTGTCTTTTCATTGATGCGTATGCTCCTCCGACGTCCAAGCTGATCTTGTTCCATTGTAAGCACCTGAAGTTCGATAGACTAATATTTGGATAGGGGGATCAGGAGAATGTCTCGGGATAAGCGTATGAGAAAAATGTCTTGGTTGCTGTCTAGCCATGAATTCGATGTATCTACAAATACGAAAGGGGCTTACAACAGAGTTTAAAGCCGCCAGGTACCAGGCAGGATGTGTTCGCAGTCTACTACCTTAACAAAGACTGCGTTAAACAAAAGGCCTTTTCTTACCCGCCCGTTCGGTTCTTTCATCCTTTATTACCAACACCGTATGTTCTCAAAGCCTGCTAAATAAAGTTATGTATGGTTTCAGATCAATACGGTTTTGACCAAGTAGTCAATAATGTAATAAGAGAATGGGAGAAAAAAGAAAAGAAAGTGTGACGCGGAAAAACCTTAGTGGTGCAAAAACCGCGCGGTGCGCAAAGCAAATAAAC